TCAATAAGAATTATATAATATATAAAGTCTGTATAATAGATGATTTTAAAATAATTGCATAGTTTAAACCTTTGTCCCGATATTAAGGGAATCCTATGTTGGAAAAAGCCTTTGTTCTACCGGCTTATTCAACATCCTGATTTCTTTGTTTGTTTGCGTTTAATCTCTTCCAGATTTTCAAACCACAAACACTAACCTCCTGACATCAATTACTACCAGACTCCAAACATTAAGCTGCACAGAGCGCAACTATGAGCTCTTCCACTTCAAATCTTTACGGTTCGATCAACAGCAGCAGGCTCCAGAATCACCCCAAGACTCGGCTCGTCAAGAAATACGTCTTCAAAGCTGCTAAATTCATCTTTTACATCATCAAGCTGATCACCAAATTCATAGTCCTTACTATCCAGAAATTGTTCAACCTTTCTCTATATCCTATGCTTTCAGTCATTGTCACGATATTTGCGTTGACAATATATAGCTTCTTTTTGGATCAAGTTGTTGAGAGGCTGAGTGGCTGGGTAGTTGGATTGACTTTTGGTGGCCTGCAGATTGTTGCGCTTCCGAAGACTACAATTTTGGAAACCCCAACGCATTGGTACGTAATACCACTACCAGAAGTAGCCTCACTTGTGACACCAAGTGCTACGCTATCAATGATCACTACAATAGTGGTTGAAGTATTATCCGAGACTTATGCACTGACAACAGAGGATTACACATATCCTGCTTTGGCATTCAGTCAAGGAACGTCTCAAATGCTACCCGAAGTTTTCGAATCGCTGACCATTCTTGCATCGGTAGAACCTATCCAAATCGCACACTCGGAAGCAATTTCTACGTCAGAGATACAGCTACCATCGACTGATTCTCCCGAGGCCCAAAAGTTCTCGACTCCTTCGCGCATCTCGATAGCCTTTTTGGAGCCAGAGCACAGTCCAGAGCCCCGTTCGTAGACGCTCGAACCTTTTTCTTCCTCTCCCAAATCTTTGCTCGCCACCTCCGACTCAACGAAATCTATTTCGACTATCTCAGAGCTCCATACAACCTCGTCACCTCTCCCTATCTCCCCAACACAAGAAGAAATCACAGCTCTCCTCGAACTTCCTACAACGATCGCAGTGTCAATGGACACACTCTCAGAAGACACAGAATCATACACGCCATCTATAAGCACCAGAAAGGAGGAACATACTTCATCATCGAGTTGGCAATCTGGAATTCTGATTGCCACACGAGTAGAGACACTTCATGAATCGTTGTTTACCTTCGCCACCATCAGTTCGCGTTCACTGGTGGAATCCGAAACACAGACACCGCAGCCTACAAACTTAAATCATCAGGAACTGTAGGCTGGCAAAGATGGTCTGGAAAGAGGGCTGAGTGCTGCACGTCAATGTGGGGTGGCGGCTTGGAGGGTGAGAAAGTGTTTCCGTAGTCATATTTCCAAAGTCACAATAAAGTATTTTTGATTACAGAAGAGATGGCATAATTATCTGAAGGATCATTACGTGATTTCAGACATGCAAAAGTGACCCAGAATGTCTTGCCTCATGTCAGAATGCTGAACCCAAATGTCGCATTTTGCAGCCGTTTGCGGATTGATGCCTTTGTTCAACACCCACCCGGTTTCAGCACAGACGTGAAACGAGTGAAAATAAATAACAAGGCTGAACAAAACAACATCAAGTCTCCTCATAACCACCAATTCTCAATTGTTCCCCCAAGTATAACCTATTCCACCTCAAACCTCAACATCTCCCAAATCACCACCAGTCCCTCACTTCTCGCGTAGGTAATTCAACATTCTCGCGTAATCCAGGGGCCCTCGCTTCGAGATCCCGCCCCTCAATTCCCAAAATGCCCACCACCACCAAACCATCAAACGACATCCCCATAAAATCAATAGAATTCGACCCACCACCCCCTTCACTCCTCACAACAGCGATCCAAACCATAATATTCATATTCAAACACTACAAAACCGGCATCCTGCTCCTGAACCTCTTCGGCGCTTGGGCTATCTGTACAACCCTTCTCCCCTTCCAGTTCCACAACACAAACTAACGAACAATCACAGACTTAGCATCAACCAGTGCTTTGGACGTATCGTTCTTCCCCTGCGATCCTTGCGCGACCCCCTCTATTTCAACATACCTCCCGGATGCCATCGCGCAGATAGCACACGCGCGCTGTGCCGGCGCACGAAGATATGAAGCAGAGCGTCGGCGCAAGAACGAGGCATGGGACCGTATGCTCGATCTTTCCTACGAGGTAGAAAGTTGTGGTTCTCTCCACCATGCTCCCTCGGAACAGAGGAGGAAAGGAGGGTTTAATATAACGCATCTTACCACCCTTTACACAACCACGCAAACCTCTCTCGACCTTTTAGACTTAACCGAAACGACCGAACTGCTGCCTCTCAACCTGGGAATTTTGTTAGAAACCACAATCCCCTCATACCTCACCTCCCTCCTCACCCTCCGAAAAGAAGTCCTCTGCGCCCTAGGCTCTGACCTCATCCTCACCTTAAAGGAACTACAAATCCACCACTCCCTCACCTCATCCAATTCCTCTTCAGCTATGTACAAATACGCACTCACTACCACCAGAGCCTTCCGCTCACAATTCGAAGAAACGACATCTCGAACCTCTACTTCCCTCGCGAAAATGATCTCCAAGCTCGCAGAAGGCGAAACTATTCTCTCCGAGCTCGAAACACTACTCACGCTCATCAGCGACGAAATCTCCGCCTCACAAAGGCGAAGCAGCAGCGTAGGAGAAAAAGTCGCACAATGGTACCTCGGGGACAGCGGTTCGTTGTCCGAGTGGCAGAAATTGTACTTGCGTTGGGAGAAGGCGGAGTTGGTGGAAGCGGTGTTTGAGGTGATGCACGAGTTGAAGTTTGCGAGGGAGGCGTTTGAGGATTTTAGGGTGCGGGAGGGGAAGGGGAAGGAGGGGGGGTGTGGGGAGGTGGTGGATTATGAGGGATGGGTGGGGGAGGTGAGGTGGTTGATTTGGGCGGTTAGGGAGCAGGAGAATGAGATTATTGATGTGATGGCGGGGTTTGAGGGGGGTGAGAGGAGAAAGGTTGTGAAGAGTGCTAGGTGGCCTGAGGGGTAATTCACTGTTTTCCAGAGATGTGGGTATAGAGAAGAGAAGTTGTGCATGATTGCAAGTTAGCGTGAATTTTGAATTGGAGGAAATTTGGTATCAATTCGTATAAGACTAATTGTAAGGCAGATATGCCATGGTAAACAGAAGAAAGAACTGTTTTTGTCCAGACGTAAACATCATTCACGTCTCATAACCAGCACCACCTCTCGATTATCATCTGAGGAAATCCTAAACAGCCCAATAAACATCAATCTTGACCTCTTCAATAGTGTTAGCCCATTCAGCAAACCTAGCCTTAGCCCAAACAGTAACAACATCCCCAATCTTCATATTCCTAACGAACTCTCCCGTTGCAGTTGCACGACCACGACCTCTATCTTCGAGTGCTTGTCCGAAAACAGAATCTGGATCAGTATCATCATCACAAGACCAGACAACTTGATGGGTCTGCACGTTCTTCGTTGCTGTGAGATTCTTCTGGAGACAATCCTGATTCGGTATGAATTCGTGGTGGAAGTGATATTGGATATTTGTATCATCGGAACTGGTTTGATTTGATTCTGTTCGTGGGGAGATAGTATGGAAGACGGAAGTAATAGCTTGAGCATCGGATGCTGAGTCGTCCGAAGAGAGGTCGATTTTGTGAGAAGGTTTCGATGGAAGTGATGATGGCTCTTGGCCTTCTTTGAAAGCAATCAATTCCTCTTTTCCGACATCGAACCAAGTGTATGACCCTTGGTAAGTTCCCCTATGTTGTCTGTCACCTCCCCATCCTTGGTCGTGACTTTTGATCGTGAACACAATTTTGCGGCAGGGGTGATCGCTCTTCATGTGGGATTCTTCGAGCCACTTTCCCTTGACCTCCTCATTTGCTGAACCTTCTGCAACGGGCTTGGTTGTCGACCATGGTAGTGGATCAATGGTGGGAAAAGAAGTTTTGTCGAGCATCGAACAATCCGTCTCGTCGGACTTCGTGGGGAGATAGCCAAGAGGATAAGATCTCAACTACAAAGATTAGCTGTGGTAGAATGATGAATGGCGTTTAAACTTACAACAAAATCTTCCTCGTGTCCTCTTCCAGTTGTGACAATCTTCTCTCCTCTTCTCACTGTAGTCGTATGAGGCCAGTACTCTGCAAAGTCGACGATGGAATCAATCAGCTCCATAGGGAGTTTTAATCCCTTGCAAAGATCATTCTTTACTTCGAATACATCCGCCAGGAAGGGATCGAAATGAGCTGGCTGATTCATTGGTAATTGCGATGTACTTGGCTCCTCATCTTCTTGTCGAAGTGCGGTTGTATTTTGTGGAGAGCCGAAGATAGCACCAGTGATGCTGGTGTAGACGTACCCGTACAAACGCGAGAAGGCAGACATTGTTTTGATAGTTTTCTACGGACTGGAATGTAGAATGTTGTTCTGATTTCTTCTAGGGGTTTTGACAGATTTAATTGCCTGTTTCGAGAAGCTTTGGGTAGAACGTTTGGAAGAAGGAGTCTTTTAGTACGTATGTGTGAGAGAGTAGGTGGAGTGATTGTTTTGTTGATGCCTGGATCTGGAATGGACAATAAGTTGGAGATTCGCCTCCAAATGACGTAGGTCATACGTAGCCCCACACAAGGCTGAAGTACTGTACAAGCGCAAGGCTGACAGAGGCTAGCCCATGATCCCTGTGCGAGCACGCAATGGCCGAGGTCGCTGACAAAGAGCCTGGATAATTTATTTTGTTTCTCATATCTGAGCAGAATTGTGCTTTCATCCCATCATTTATTTCATTTGTATTTCTGACCATGAATCCGACGAGGAGTATCGTCGCTGGTGTTCGACTTGTTGGCGGACGCAGAGTTTCTTCGAAACCATTTATACGGACATTGTCAACATCCGCGAAGCCCGCCACTCTGCCAGCATCACAGCAAGATGCAGTCAGGTCATTTCATGGACAAGTTCCAAGGCGGAGTGGAGCAGCAGAGGCATCGAATCCTGCCATGGCATTTCCTTGCCTAGACGCTTTAGAATCAAAATCTGCCACACTTGAAGCTCGATCTCTATCCAGCGGTCCCGAACCCTCCTATACAAGTGGCGTGACGCTCAAATACCATTACAAAGAACCATTATTGCTCGATTGGGGAGGAGTTCTACCCGAGTTCGATATAGCATACGAAACCTGGGGCGAACTGAATGCGGATAAGTCGAATGTTATACTTCTGCACACAGGACTTTCAGCCTCGTCGCATGCACATTCAACAGAGAGCAATCCCAAGCCAGGGTGGTGGGAGAAGTTCATCGGACCCGGTGGATGTCTCGATACGGATAAATACCATGTTATATGTACCAACGTGATCGGAGGTTGTTATGGCTCGACAGGACCGAGTAGTATTGATCCTGCGGACGGACAAAGATACGCGACAAGGTTTCCAATTCTTACCATGGAAGATATGGTACGAGCACAATTCCGCTTACTTGATGGCCTAGGAATCAACAAGCTATATGCGAGTGTTGGAGCCAGTATGGGAGGTATGCAATCCTTGGCAGCAGGAGTTCTGTTCCCAGAACGAGTGGGAAGAATTGCTAGCACTTCTGGATGTGCAAGAAGTCATCCGTACAGTATTGCAATGCGACATACACAGCGACAGGTGTTGATGATGGATCCGAAATGGAATCGAGGGTTTTATTATGACAGCATACCTCCGCACGCAGGCATGAAGCTGGCTCGAGAGATTGCCACAGTCACCTATCGATCAGGACCAGAATGGGAGCAGAGATTTGGCCGGCGGCGGGCAGATCCAAGCAAACAACCTGCATTGTGTCCGGATTTCTTGATTGAAACGTACTTGGATCACGCGGGGGAGAAATTTTGCCTGGAATATGATGCGAATAGCTTGCTGTATGTGAGTAAGGCCATGGATCTTTTCGACCTTGGAGCCAAAGCCCAAGCAGCCAGCTCTGCGCGTCGAGCTGCTCACGTTCAGCGACTTGAAGCCGGCCAAGATGGAGATAGAGAAGCTGCCATGTGCAGTCTCACATTGCCCGATTCTCCATACGAAGAGCAGCCAGAATCCAACGCCCCTTCTGACCTCAATGCACCCGTCGAACTTTCTTCTGGGCCGCCCCAAGACCTGGTATTGGGATTGGAGGTATTGAGAGATCATCCCGCTTTGATCATGGGTGTTGAGAGTGACATTCTGTTCCCCGCATGGCAACAGCGGGAAATCGCTGAGACATTGCGAAAAGCGGGCAACAAGAGTGTGACACATGTGGAACTCGGGGAAGACTTGAGTCTTTTTGGGCATGACAGCTTCTTACTGGATTTGGAACATATTGGGGGCAACCTTAAACAGTTCTTGGGATAGGTTTCCCGCATTGCTATGGGATTGATGTAGCGGGGTACGAGGAGATAATGATTGTACGATTGTGCATTGGGTGGCGTTCATTCACAGCTTCTCTTCAATATCTATACATCACATAACAAACAGCTGCATATCAAAAGCTCTCAATTCAACAAGCACAATTATCAGCTTGGTAGTATATGCTACGCAATAAAATGGCATCCGCAATGCATAGTGCAGCTATCACGACTCAGTCCCATCCCGTCGTCACACTCAATTTCTGCACCTTCTCCAACATTCACTTGAACTCACCCATACAAACAGATAGGATTCCACCTCTGAACGCCACAGCTCCATCACGTTCTCAAATTTTGCTTTTGTTCTGCAGTCCGGAGGTCCCCGTCCCCCACTATGCAGTCTAGATCCCTCTCGTTCCGTTCTGACAAGGGAGCTTCAGCCACTCACACGCGCGAACACCCACCCATGACAAAAGCTCAAGAAATGCTTTTTCTTCTCTGCCCCGCTACTTACCCTGCAGAAATAAAGAAGGGCAACTCCCACCTTCTTCTTCTCCAACCTTTCAACCTCCAGTTCAAACACATTGGTATTGATCAATCAGTCAATGCCAATCGCGACCTCGTTATAATTATTCCAGTGAGCGACTTGAAGTCTTTGCGCTTACTGTCTTGGGGACGAAGAAAGACTTCACGAGTTTGGTTTGCGACAGAAAGAACGAACAAACCATTGCGATAAGATACCCACTATTATAATATTCAAACCATCACGACGGCGAACGAGGAAAGGAATCCGCTTCTTGTATATACTTCAGACGACGACGACGAGCAGGATTCTCAATTAGGGAAGGGCAAAGGGAAAGGAAAAATGGCAAGCAAGGAATTCGGGGCCAAGACAACGGCGGTGGAGACGTATGAGGCGAATGGAGAGAGTTATCACAAAGGTAGTGATGGGTTGGAGGCCAGTGGTGAGGGAAGTGGGAGTATTCAGATGACGGGCGATGGCCAGGTTAATGGGGATGTCAATCCCGAGGTTTTGGAGCATGCGATTGAGGTTCTGGAGACGAAGAACAAGAAGTGGTATGCCTACTTGACTACCAGGGATTTCTGGTTTGTGTTGGCTCTTGGGTATATGCTCCTGTTTTTCCGTTCTTCGAAGAACAATGCTAATAACAAACAGACAAGTCCTCGCCCTCTGCATCACAGCCACAAACACATTCTCCACCCTACTCGTCAACAAGGGGACATCCATCCCAGCCTTCCAAACGCTCTTCAACTACATCGTCCTAACCGCCATCTACACCACCTACACCATCTACCGCTACGGCATCAAGAAATACCTGAAACTCCTCCTGGTGGATGGCTGGAAATACATCATCCTCTCCTTCATGGACGTCGAGGGCAACTACTTCACCGTCCTCGCTTACCGCTATACCAACCTCCTCTCCGCCCAACTCCTCAACTTCTGGTCCATCATCTGCGTCGTCATCGTATCCTTCACCCTCCTCCACGTGCGCTACAAATGGGCCAAGATCGCCGGGATCCTGATCTGCTGCGGCGGCATGGGCATCCTGCTCGCATCCGACCACATCACGGGCGTAAACGGCGGTTCGCCCCCCACGATGCTGAAGGGCGACCTCTTCGGTCTCGCTGGCGCGACGTTTTACGGCCTCTCGAACGTCTTCGAGGAGTGGTTCGTCAGCAAGCGGCCCGCGTGGGAAGTCCTCGGCATGCTAGGCTGCTTCGGCGTCATCATCAACGGCATCACAGCCGCCATCTTCGACCGCGCCTCCTTCCAGTCCGCGACTTGGGACGGGCAGGTCGGGGGCTACATCGTGGGCTACACTTTGGCGCTCACCATCTTCTATTCCCTGGCTCCCATCATCCTGCGCATGGCGTCTGCTGCTTTCTTCGATATCTCGCTGCTCACGGGCAATTTCTGGGGTGTCATTATCGGCATCCATGTCTTTGGATACTCGATCTATTATCTGTATCCGATTGCATTCGTGTTGATTATCGTGGGGCTGGTGGCGTATTTCCTGGCGGGTAGTATGTTGGGGGATAGTAAGAAGCCGTGGTTGGGACAGAATCAGGAGGGGGGGCATGCGGGGTATGGGACGGCGAAGTTGAAGGCTATTAATGAGGCGAGGAGGGAGGGGATGGTTGGTGATCATCAAGCTTAGAGGTATATCGAGAGAATGGAGGGTAGAGAGAGGGTGTGAATGTGAGACGGTGGAGATGATTATAGATGGTCAATGATTGATGATTTACTGCTCAATTCTTCCCTCGAAGTTCTAATCGTCCAAGTTACTCTTCCCTTCTTCATTCCCCGTGCACAAGAACAATATCAGCTTCACATCCATATAATTGACAGCAAGCTTGAACCAGCCTTTCCCCATCCACAACGCTGAGCGACAACGTCTCTCAAACCTCATCCATCGACGCCGAATCTTGCTAACTGATTCACAACTCCCCTCTCAATCACAATACATTTCTCCCTCGAGTCAACATTCATAACACAATCATTCCGCCCTTCTCCCACTCACTCACCCAACGTTCTCCAGTCATCCCCCCCTCCCTATCACCATCTGTCCTGCCCCAAAATGTACCTAAAACACTACTTACCTAGGTACTAATCCTCCAAGCCAACCATCCAAATCAAGCACCTCATCATCCAAAAGCAACCCCAAACCAATCCTCCAACGGAAAAGAAAAGAACGAAAAGAAAAAGAAAATGACACCAACCTACCCAAACACAGAAACAACATTCCTCTGTCCCGTCTGTCATCAACTGTTCTACGCTAAGGACGACATGAAGAAACATTGGGGGTCGAGTCATGTTGATGATTCTTTATTCTACATTAAGGGGGATATGAGGGGTATGAGAGGGGGAGGGGAGGAGATTGGGAGTGAGAGTGATGAGGATGAGAGCGAGAGCGAGAGTGGAGAAGGAGATAGTGAGATAGCTGGGATGAGAGGGGATGAGAGGGTGGATGGAGGGGAGAATGTCTCACAGCCTTTGTAAGCTCGGTCTGTAACAAGCAAGGATTTTGATAACAGCGAAGACCGAAAATCAGAATCTGGAGATTGCCCACATGATCCATTGCTAGATAAATGCATTCCTACAACCCCACCCGCACCCATGATACACACACGATTCCATTCCCCCGTAGTATCTCTGATATATGAAACGCCGTTCGACTCCCCAACCCGGATAAAAAGAGAAACTCCGAGCCCAACACATCACTGCTCGAACTCCACAACTTTCTGCGTTGCTGTACTGATGCTCCTCGCTCTCCCCGGATCAGCTGGACTGGTGGGACTCAAAGCATTCTGCTTAACTTCCGTGACGCCTTCCTGGCCCCTAATACTCATAGCCTCCGCATCAACGCCTTCAAGTAGATCTCTATCTTCGGAACGGACACTTCTGCGTTCGGCGTCGCCGCCGTATGTGCCTGAAGTTCGGGGGCCATCATAGCCTTCTTCTTCGTCTTCATCGTCTTCTGGTCTGTGTACGGCATTCTTTTCGAGTTCCTTTTGAGCTTCGTCCATGCGTCGACGGACTTCGGCTGCGACTCGCATTCCATCTGTGACGATATTGTCGAGTACGCCTCTGAGGCCTTTGCCTGGTGGAACGACACCCGCGGCACTGCTGCCTACAATAGCAGCGGTTTGTGAAGCAGCGTTGCTCGCTCGGTTGAATCCGATATTGGAGAAGGTCGTAAGACTAGACGAAGACGATGCTGGGCCAGGAGGAGTCAACTTATCGGAGATTCGGAACGAAGCTGGGAACGATGATTCGAAGAATTGTTCTAGAAGTTCATCTGCAAGAACGACCATGCGGAATGTAGGTAGAGTGATATGAAGAGGTTTTGATGGGTCCAGAGCAGCATTGGCAGCTTCAGCTTGAGCCTTGGAGACACTTCGTTGGTTGTCATTATCCGGTTTGCCCGATGCTGGAGGATTACTTGATAGGCCAGTAAGTTTCTTCCCTCGTTTAGGAGTCGCATCTGGTCCAAGATCCAAGAGATCCTCTTCCTCGTCGCTGTCTTCACCGATACCAAAAGCATTGTTGTCGGCTGTACCATTGGTAGTGGACTCTCCAGGCGTCTCTTGGTTTTGTGGGTGGTCTGGATCAGCGTATTCGAAGCAGCGTCGAATAAAAGCGCTCACACTGCTCAAGAAGCGTTCATTCGTTGTGCCTTGAGGACCATCAATTTGAGCTCCATTGCCAGCTTCGAATTCGCTCAATCCAGTCATAGAACTTGATGGGGTCAAAGAGCCTTCCAGACCTCGTCGTGACAAGAATAACAAGGCCTCGGATATTCTTAAAATGCCTTCTCTGTCGACCTTGCCATCTCCATCGTCGTCATAAAGCTCGAAGAAATATGTTATGCTGCCCATAATATCGCCTTTGCCTTTGATGTGCGCAATGCCTGTAACAACGTTTTGTAACGTCAACGCATTTTGCATGTCCACATCCCATCGACGGAATAGACGTTGCATGAATTCATGGTCCGCTGGCTCTGGATTGCCAGCTCCCCAAGGCGACATTGAAACCTCTCTCCGTCTGACACTATTACCGAAGTAAGAGTGTTTGTCACGTTCCGAAGGGTAGTCTTTCTCTGGCGGAGATGGCGAGTCCGTGATGGCCCATCGCGCTATACCAGCGAGGAATTCTCTGAAGCCATCATAGTCCATAAGAGTGGGGCTTGGCCCCAAGCCTACACGGCCCTTCTCGACGCTCTGAGTTTCTGCAAGACCATTCACGACTTCGGCTGCTCGAGCTTTGCTTGCTTTTAACCGTCGATCCGTCTCCTCTTGAATCATCTGACTTCTCATCTGGCGCTCATAAAGGATTCCATAAAACCTATCATACAACGCGCCGAGGTCATCCGTGCTCAGTCTCTTGCTGTCAGGGCCAAGATTGCGTATCGATGTCCTCTTGGCAAAGCTCTCAATGCTATTCAGCACAGCATCCTTATGTTTCATGCGTTGCTCCGAGATACTGCTCTGTGTGATGCCTGAGAATTCTTTGAAAGCCACGACCATCAGTTCTTGAAACCGGGTCACTGCCCGGAGTTTCTGATTTGTGGATGTGGGATGCGCCGATTCGTCTAGTTTCGAGAAATACCCCTTCAGAACAGATATGAAAGCGCCGTCGTCAGCGGCGTCCAGCAACTCTTCTCCGTTTATGCGTAAAATAGCCAATCCGACTTGGAATAGAACCTTGGGACCTTCTAAGAAGAAAACATCTAAAACCCGGAAAGCAAAAACCAGAGGCATGGAATTGATATACAGCGAAAGAAACCAAGGAAGTGATACAACCGAAAGTTGGACGTCGGATTTGACCAGATGATCCCAAAGTATCGGCATCGTCTTTTCCACCAGCGATTCGAAAACCCTTTGGTCGAGTAATGTGCCGTACATAGTTGTCGAGTAATACCCAGGGAGTAAACGGTCGCAAAGCGTAGAGAGTAAGAAGAAAGCCTGGGATTCCGACATGTATATGAGAAGTGCAGCCACCACAATATTCATAGCTTGGCAATATCCAACTTCTTCGTTGGTCCAACTGTACGCCGTGAGGACTCTCCTGAGACGACCTATGCCTTCTTCGCTTTGAAACCCGGGATATTCTGGCAAACTCCGATTCAGATCCTTCTCAATCTCATCTATAGCAAGAGAGTCTCGTCCTTCATACTTTGCCAGTGTCTCAGCAAATAAAGTTGGATGTTCTAATCGTAGAAACAATGAACCGGATGTTTGTTCCCATATTTCCCCGCGCAGTCGATTTGGCAGACCAACTCTAATAAGCTTATGAAAGGTAGGTTGCCGTATAAGTGTGACGTTTCGGCCGTTCTCTCGAAGATATTCGCCCCATAGTCTCATCTTACTTCGGTCTCGTAGTTTCCGTGCATCACCTGGGTATCGAAACAGCATTCCGAGTCCAGCATCTGGAGGCTCGCCGGTCTTCTTCCCGTCACCCTGCAGAAGATATTCCGAATAGCATTCTGCGACTACTCTTTTCAACTTGCCCACTTCTCCAACACCAGATTTGAGGCCCTTTTTCAATCCATCGCAGAATCTCTCGCAGGCCTGCCGGCTTCCCGCGAGTTGTATAGTAATCTTCTGTTGGTATGCAGGAGTCTTGGAGGTTTCGTTCGTAGATGTATTACTGATTCCGTTCCATGTTGTGATCGCTAGAGCAAACTATCCTGAGGTTAGAAATGCTTTGAGACGGTGAGGCTGGGGCTGAGGGGTATACTTGGTAGGATTGACTATGAAGCCGCTCTACACGCCGAATGGCACAGAGCGGCAGTGTGAATCCATTTCCTCCAGGACCAGCTCCATGTGTCTGTCCCGTAAAGCCGGAAGACGTACTTGTACTGGCCGTCTGCAGGAAGCTAGTTGGTTGCGTCGAGAAGCAAAGGTAAGACTCGCTCAGGTGAAGCTTGCCCGCATAATGATATCCCCTGTCCCGATCTCGATCCTTCTCGCCCTGTGTTGCATTCGGAGAGTATGCGATCGGAGGGGAGATCGTGAGCTCAGCAGTGATTTCTTGGAGCGGAGTTTGGGAGTCTGGCAGTCGAAACTGATGGCGGAAGAGAGTGGATTTCGCAGGATTCCGGTCAGAAGCGGAGATGTTAAGAGCTTGGGTCGGATCAATGAGCGATTGAGCCTTCTGCACAAGGCTTGAAAGGTTGAACATTGTTCATGGTATTTGCTGCAACTGCAGCTTGGTTCAGCAAAGAGGTTGTCAGCTCCTTATGATTTCAGATGTCCTCCCGCCTCGACCCGCAGCAGGCGGGATGCGCTAATCTTAGTATGATGGGGACCAATCAGACAGGGTGCCCTGAAACTCCGCGGTTCACCAAAGACATCATGCAGACCTGAATGTCAAAACAAAGTAAGAAACCAAGGACTCCAATGCTTAAGTAGTTATCTTTTGGCTGATTGGATGCGATTCAAAGACAACTTGGAAGTTTTACAGGCATTCACGTGACCAGGAAGTAGACGCAAGAAAGAGTCTGAATAAACGTGAAGAATGTTGTGGGACTTTAGTCGGATAGAGAATTTTTCGGATGGAGGAGCCTTAAAAAGACAAACAAATACAGGTATCAGTATCCATGCCCTCTCCCGTACCATTGCAGCTTCAAACACAAATTTCTTAACCCACCACTCTAAGCCCAAAACCCAATGTTCCCAATTTTCCCGACTCCAAACACCTAGCTGCTGAAGTATGCAACAGCTTCAGCAAAATATCCGTCGATTGTGTTAGCATCGTTGATTCCCTGTTGCTGATTTGCAGCTGGTGTGATCGCGAGCAAAGCACTCGAGCATGATGCTTGATCGGTTCTGAGCGAATTAATAGAATTTTGAACAGTCGGAAGAACCCCGACGTCGATGAAGTCTTGTTTCTTGGCTTCCATTGCAGCCAGAAGCGTGGCGGTATCCGGGATAATATAATTCTCGATAAGTGCGGCCATGTTGGCGGTTTGATCCGATGTTAGTTGAGGAGATTGTAAGCAATCGGAGGTTGCTGTGTTGATGGACTGATCCAGTGTCTGTTCGTCTTGAAGGATAGGGATTGCTCCCAGGATTCCTTGTGATTCGGACCAGTTTCCAACAGCATAAGTGAGCGTTTGAATGTTCTGGTCGACAGTGACGCAGTCGAGAATAAGTTGGGCAAATTCGACAGCTGCAGCAAAAGGCAGGCACAGGAGGACGCTCTTCGCAGCAAGCATTGTGTGGATCTTCAAGTAAGAAGAACGAGGAGGGCAGTATCAATGTTTGATAGATGTGGAAGAGGAGAGAGAACCTTGTTCGATAATGCTTGGCAAGATGCAAATAAAGAGATTATGTATTTCAACGAGTGCATTCTTGAAAAGGCGTAAAAATGAAAAGTTCATGTAGTACGTGAGTTCAGAAAACAGCGAAGATCACTCCCAGGGCCGATTTTTGAATATTGAAATGAGAAATGATAGGTCTCACCGAATCTTTCAAAGGTCGAGTGGTCAATAAGTATCACCAGAAGGTCATTCGGCCGCGCACTCGCTCAATTTGCAGCACCACTGGATACTTTCAAACGACTGATGTACACTTTTGTAGAGCTAGAACGTAACATGGCGTCTATCTAGGACAAGAATATGACAGAACAAAGTACAGATTCTGCGTTTCGGGTACGTCCGAGGCACCACTGAAAGGATTTATCTCGATCGGGTGAGGTCTCCTGTGGAACAGCCGTTCGGCGGTATTGCGCATAGTGAGGGCATATGACGGGGGACCGGTGAGCGTAGAGATCATGCTAAGGAAGCCAAAGTGTCTCTGACAAGATGCGGATATCGCATATCCAATCGTACCGATTAAGGGCTTCGAGGTCAATTGATGGAGGTTCTTGTCACTCGTGGATGTGAAGGATGTCTTGATAAAGTATGTTAGCTAGTCCTATTGTGGCTAGACCTTTACAGTATCCACATGGTTACTATCTTCTTCAGAACGGAGGATCGGGACACCCGTCCCATCATCTTGCACCACAAAAGAGAACCTTGGATCATAACCATACCGGATTCCTCGAAGATATTGAGCCTACTATGCCAGATATGATCAGATGTTACATTAGATGCCCTGACTTTAGGCGGTCAGGATTCCTCAACCAACGAGAATCCATGCTCAGTCAGCAGCGGAAGCGGGGATGCCGCTCCCGCGGCATCTAGAAATGCCTTTCCTCCGTTTCCTTTTGGAATTCCACACATTTTTCTATTGCTTTGATATACGGAAAGGCACAAAAGCTTAATTCGTGCAGTAGAAGATACCAAAGATCAGTCATGAGTGCTCACCATGTGGGGAATGAAGTCTCTGATTCGACGAATTCGAGTTCCCTCCGAAAAGAAGGACTTCGTGCCTGTGGAACCTGTGTCAAGGCCAAAGTCAAATGTGTTCCCAATGCTGAGAGGGGAAGGTGTCAACGGTAACATCTCTCGTGCCCAATCGAATGTGGTTATGCTGAAGACCCCTCAGTTGCCATAGGCTGGACAAACCATGCCACCCATCGACATCTTCATCTCGGAAACGCCCTCAATCTGCGTGAGAGGGCCCTCTTTATTAATGTTGACACCAACTGACACATTACAGTCAAGTCGCCCAATTAGAGAAGAAGCTTGACAGCCTCGTAAACCTCCTAACCACCCCAAAGGATAATGTCGTACCGGTATTCAGCTCGTCGGACTTTCCTATGGTAGGCCAACAGAGACACGATACGTCACAAGACACCGATGAGGAGCTCGCTCTTGGTCCTGGACAATCCTCTCAGCCTGTGTTCCAAGCTTGCGCAAGTAATACTTCGCATCCGAGTGACGACTGGGACTCGGAGATTGATCCATTCGATTTTGGGCTAGAGCGTCAAGAATGCGCTTTTCTTCTACTCGAATTCCGAACTCAGATGTCTCCACAGTTCCCCTTTGTCGTAATTTCACCAGATGCAACCTCTGAGTCCCTTCTCCGAGAGAAGCCGATGTTGTGGAAAGCTGTCATGACAGCCGCTTCGTACCACAAGCCCATTCGACAAGAGGCAATGGGTTGGAAGCTCATGGAAGACTTCAGCACAAGGTTGCTTATGAAGGCAGAAAAGTCTTTAGATCTTTTACAAGCTCTCCTTGTTCATCTCGCTTGGTTAGTCACCACCTCCAGCGTACTTCGTGGGATCTCATGATCAAGCATGCATTGCGCCAAGTGCCTTTAGACTAATTCAAGAAAGGTACCATTACCACTCCGCTGCCAATCCTCAAGCCACGAACTTACTTTTCCTCGCTGTAAGTATAGACTTATACTTTATAATCTTGTGCAAAGTTTTCAGAAATAAAAACTTTAATGAGAGTTTTGCTGATGCTTCAACGTAACAGAAATCTTTACTCATCAATCTTGGTTACCACAGATCACGCACTTCGAGGGATCGGCCAAAGCTCAATCTGAACCTAGACGGGTCCGAGGGCTTGTCAATTGATGAACCAAATGACAAGACATCTACCCTATCGAGGAGTTTGGAAGAATGGAGAGCTCTTGCTGGCTGTTTCTTTCTTTCGGCTATGACAACTTCAAGTTGCAGACGCATGGACCCTCTCCTTTATACTCCTCACCTCGAAGCTGTATGTAAAACGCTCACGGAAATGTGCGAATATGAGAGCGACCGGATGATCATGCCTTTGATCTCCATACAGAACGTCGTCCTGAAAATGAGCAGCAGCTTGCAAGAGCTTGATGTTTCCAAGTCTCTAAGCGCAATACCAATCAGGATGTATATGACGGCTTTACAGAATGAACTTAACACGATCAAAAGTACTATGCCAACCAGTCAGGTAGGCAGCGGTAAGTACGAGTCCAGTAATTCATGTCCTTGAAACTAACAATGGCAAAGCGACACTCCTGTCTTGCTTTCAAGTAGCCGAGATAAGCCTCTATGAGGTCGGTTTATATCGGGCATTTTGGCAAGAGAGCGACAAGGACCATCGTTTGAAAACGCTTTTTGCTTGTCTTATTGCGATCAGAACCTATTTCGACACCCATTTCTCACCAGGTGTCAGAGTCCCCGCAAGCTTTCCATACTTTATGTGGATCCATAATGGCTATGCACTTTTAATGGGAGCAAAGCTTTGTTTTAGTAAAGCAGGTGGATGGGATTTGAGCTATGCTCGCTCTGTGGTGGATTATAACACCGTTGTCAATCATATCACGCAGAAGCTTGAAGCAATTCTTCGTCTACGCACTCCACATGGAAAATCGGAAATCTTCACACGATATATCAAACAGCTCCAATGCAAGCAAATGAGGAGGTTGGTATCTTCTACGGCATCTTTCGAACAACAGCGACCTGCAAATATTTCGCCAGCCCCATTGAATGACACTCCCGCGGCTGGGTATTCACTCGAAAATCACTTTGCATCAGACATCGCGCAATCCTTTCATGATCCGATGTTCATGGACGACAATTTCTGGCAAGGACTATTAGATGAAGATAACGACTGGATGATGCTTGGCTAATGAACGCTGTCTCAAATCGCCCGACCATCCAGCTTGAAATGGAGTTATCGAAAGGAATGTACGAACCCGGTGCTGAAAACCCTCGACATATTCTTCAGATCACGCTTCAAGCTTACTGTATCCCCTTGTTGGAGCCGACATTTCTGGATCCCACTTTGTCGCTATCATCACCTTTCTACGACATCATGCAGAATCTCTTGTCGTATTCGGATTCTTCGGTGCCGTTTTGTGATCATACAATTAATTGTACGCCTAACTTCGAAGAAATTCCTCTAGTATTCTATCGTTGACATTTCATTTAGGCAAAATGCAAAATGGGTTCGTTTCCCCACAATCGCTCGAGCTCCCCGCATTGCCTAGTCTCACATCAAGCACCATTGCCGGTGATCAACTATCCCATAGCAGATTCTCGGCACATAGCCGCACGCGTACCAATCATCTATAAAATTTGGCAAGGTAAATGAGCCTCCGTTTCATCTAAGAAGGTTTCTTTCTCGGGCCTTTCCACGCATCCGCGCATGCGTTCTCACAGTCCCCTCATCGCTAGTGACGTATTGCTATGTGCTCCGTTCCTCTTTCGGTTTCAATTTTTCCGATCAAAAGTCCATCAGTGATAGACCCCTCCGGTACCGAGTCCAAAATTCCACCTACCGGGAAAGGGAGCTTCTCATGACTTATAGAGGTACTCTGCGAAATGTATTTAGCCGGAGAGGTTGAACAGGAACAGTGGAGCTCGTGTTTGAAACCTATATATTGTTGCGTTCAGCCTGGTCTTTTTGCGACTATGAATTGTGGACTTATTCGGACTACAAGTCTGTGCCCAATTGACATTTTGACAACCCGTCAAGTACTTATTAGTCTTGTCCCGATTGTAGGAAATGGCAGTTCCTGTTGCTTTGGTTCTGGGTGCCTTGTTTGGTATTGCTCTCGCAGACTTCCCTGACTGTGTTAATGGTCCAGTGAGTTCCTAGTAGAAATGCCTGCTGTGGCACAAGCATTGTCGCTGATTCACATATTTAGCTCGCCAATAATACAGTATGTGACACGAAAGCCGATCCGTACACAAGAGCAACAGTTGTAAGTCATCATCTGTCTACTACTTAAACTTTTGCTCATTCAAAGTTTCCAGCTTGTGAACCTATTTACATTCTAAGAAAAGGTCAATAATATAGGGAATAACAGTCCTGGTGTTCCAAGACTCGGGTTGCCCGCCTATGAATGGTAAGATGCCACATATATCATTCATGAAGTATGACTGACCCTTTCAGGTGGAGCGAAGCCCTCCACGGAGTGGCAAGTTCGCCAGGAGTTGATTTTGCGGCTGCTGGGGAGGACTACTCCTGCGCCACTTCTTTCCCACAGCCAATTCTCATGGGAGCAGCGTTTGACGATCAACTAATCTACGATGTTGCCACTGTGGTTTCAACTGAAGCACGGGCTTTCAATAACGGCAATCGCGCTGGCTTGAACTACTGGACTCCAAACATCAATCCTTACAAAGAGTACGTTGTAAAATCCTCGACGACGACTTTCTGTTGACGTGATCTCTTCATAGTCCAAGATGGGGCAGAGGCCAAGAGACTCCGGGCGAAGACCCTTTCCATCTCTCGAACTACGTGAACATGTTGATCACAGGTCTTCAAGGTGGGCTTGATGCTAAGCCGTACAAGAAAATCGTTGCGACTTGCAAACACTATGCTGGATATGATCTTGAAGATTGGCATGGTAACGAGAGATATGGGTTCGATGCCATCATCAGCAGTCAGGATTTGAGAGAGTATTACTTGCCCCCTTTCCAGACTTGTGCACGTGATTCGAATGGTTAGTTGCGATTTCACCTCTGCAATACTTATGTTGTTTCTCGTCTATTTATAATTTTTCCTATTCATGGCGATATTCGAAGAAGTGTTACTGATTCATTTACCAGTACAATCGGTAATGTGCTCGTACAATGCCGTCAATGGCGTACCCACATGCGCGGATAACTACCTCCTCCAAACCATCCTGCGAGAGCACTGGAACTGGTCCGAAAACAGCCAATGGATAACAAGCGACTGCGATGCAGTTCAAAATGTCTATAATCCACACAACTACACTAGCACTCCTCAACAAGCCGCAGCCGACGCCCTGATCGCCGGGACTGATCTCGATTGCGGGACCTTCTACCCAGAATACCTCGGAAGCGCCTACACTGAAGGTCTCTACAACATCTCTATCCTAGATCATTCTTTAATCCGCCGTTACGCATCACTTGTTAGTCTCGGCTACTTCGATCCACCAGCCATTCAACCATACCGCCAACTTAACTTTAGCGATGTCTCGACCTCTCAAAGCCGCTGAGGAAGGTATCGTGTTGTTGAAGAATGATGGGACATTGCCTCTTTCATCTGATATCAAGAGTATCGCGATGATTGGGCCGTGGGCTACAGCTACAACACAGATGCAGGGAAGTTATTATGGTGTTGCTCCATATTTACACTCGCCTGTGTATGCGGCGTTGAACGCGGGATATAGCGTGAGTTATGTAAAGGGAGCAGATATCAACTCGACGAACACAACTGGATTTGAAGCGGCGTTGGATGCGGCGAAAGATGCCGATGCGGTCATTTACGTGGGTGGGATTGACAATACGACTGAGGGTGAAGCCAACGACAGAGATGTGATAAGCTGGCCGGCTACCCAACTTGATCTAATCAATCAGCTCGCCAACCTATCGAAGCCGCTGGTTGTGGTACAAATGGGTACAATGGTAGACAGCGCTTCGCTAGTTGCCAATGCTGGTGTCAGCTCTTTAGTCTGGGGAGGCTATCCCGGGCACGATGGCGGCGTTGCAATCATGAACATCTTAACCGGTAAAACCGCACCAGCTGGAAGATTACCTGTGACACAATATCCGGTTTGTCTCCTCACTCCTCACCAAAAAACTAAACTAAGCTCAAAAGGCGGACTATGTAGACCAAGTCCCCATGACAAACATGTCCCTCCGCCCCTACAATTCCGACAATTACAACCTAAACAACCCCGGGTCCATCCACCCCTTCCCCTCCTTACCGTACCATTAAACCAGCTAATCACCACCCCTTCTTTAGACGAATCTACAAATGGCTCACCACGACCCCCACCTTCCCCTTCGGCCACGGCCTCCACTACACAAACTTCACCATCTCGCTCTCCCCTCCTACGGTTGCCACATACAACATCACCTCCCTGCTCCTCAACGCCTCAACACCCTACTCCGACCTAACACCCTTCCTCACCCTCCCCATCACAGTATCCAACACCGGTAGCACATCCTCCTGTTACGTCGCGCTAGCTTTCCTATCCGGGTCTTTCGGACCGGCTCCTTACCCGACTAAGTCATTAGTAGCGTATACACGCGTGCATGATATCGCCGCGAAGTCGTCTGAGAATGGGACGCTGGAGTTGAAGCTCGGGAGCTTGGCGAGGACGGATGAGAGTGGCGACTTGGTGCTGTAACCTGGGATTTATAGTTTGAATGTGGATATTGATTCTAAGGCGGGGTGGAACTTTACGTTGGTGGGTGAGAGGGTTGCTTTGGATGCGTGGCCGGCGAGGAATGGGACTGTGAAGAGGTAAGAGGTAAGTGGTGAGGAAGGGAGGGGGTATGAAAGTGGAAAATTGAACGCTGAGGCTTGGTAGGTCGATATGGGGGGGCTGGTGGGTGTTAGCTCAAAAGATCTTTGTTCTCAGAACTTAATTGCTAGAAATGGACATGGTGGTTGAAATTATGAGTCTATCTCAGGTCCTCCTTTGAGTGGTGAGCGAGGTTGAGATGTACTAACATCAAGGCTTCAGGTTGTTAAGGAAAAGTGCAACCCGCACCACGTGTACTGCTGGCTTCAAACCAGTAGGATATATAATCTCAACATGCACTCACTGTAAAATGCGACCTTAGTCTAATCAGACTAACCACCTAACTCCCTACGTCGCAGTCTAGATAGGAGTTAGTATCGTCCCACATACGTAAAGACCACCTTGTTCACAGCGTATCCTCTAAAACAACACTTTCCACCAGCATGTTGTTTCCTTATCTCAGAACAGCCACACTTCTCGGATCCTGGCCGTACTTGTCAGATGTACTTCACGCAAGATGACGTTGTGAGAATGCAATGCAGTAAGAAGGCAGGTGCCGTGTACGAAAGTGGCAGGCCCTATACATACAGGTGGCACAACCAGGCACCGAAGATTAAGTTGTGTACTTGACATAGACTCCACCATACGAATAACAACGTGTCAACAGATCTTATTGTCCAGGGTTCAAGGTTCAAGCTCTCAAGTAAGATCCAGAGTCACGTGTATATACATACCCTTTCTCCTAATCTCGATGCTATTCATTCCCAAACCAAGAATGGGAATTTCCCATCGACCAACACATCGCATTGACCGCTCCTCCCATACCACCAGCTGCCTCTTGCAGCTTCCTTCTTATCTGTCGACTCGACATCTATGGCTGCACCGCCAAAGTGGCGCATCCGGTGTCCAATATTTAATATATTTCTTCCATGGGTTCTAGAAGCTTGTCAGCGCTCTCGTGTACAGTATTTCATCTCGGACCAAAATAGCGAACCAGAATGCAGCTGCAGGCATGGGGCACACGTCTCAGGGATGTGACTTAACCTTAGCGGATCCAACGAACCGTCGGGGTCGCTTTTGGACGACAGGGAGACAGGGAGATACCCCGCATGGAGCCTGTGATGGATGCGACCTGCCATCTTTTGCAAATCCATGATCGTCGGTGTAGACATCATACTCATACAGACGTCAGACTTCGACCGACAACTGCTACAGAGCGCAAAGTAAAGTCTAATCTCATTGAGTGCGAGACAGCGGATAAGATGGATTTCGACCTGGAAAGCTTTATGAGCGAGGTCTCGCAGGTATTGCGACACAGCTCGCCACGGCCGACGGCGGGGAAACGCCCGAGCGACGACCGCAGCACGACGGATGATGGGGAAAGTCAAGATATGGACTCGTCGAATGAGTCGGATGAGAATCCCATCTACTCTGCGGCTAAGAGAAGACGATTGGATTTCACGCGGCGCGATAGCTTTCAGACCGACCCTTCAGTTTCTTCCGACGACGATGATGATGTTGCCAGCTTTCAGGCGAACGATGTGTCGAATGATGAGATGCCTTCTTATTTTCATCCTAGTACGTTCCCCTTTTTGAAAGTATCGAGAAAGCTATTCATTCACGCAACTAGGTCTGGATATGACAACTGCTTTGGTTTCCGCTGAACCGAGACTTCCACCAAATCTTCACTCAGTCGGTCCAGAAGTACCAGCCGACGGCACAATCGACGCAATGTTAATGTACAAAGAACGACTAGATCTAGTTCCCAACCTCTACACCTATACCGTGAAATCCTGCTTATTGCCAATCCGGAGAGTACAGACTGCTTTGGTTACGCTGTACTTTCATCACATCCATCCGATGTTCCCGGTTGTCGACGAATATCACATTACGGAGCTTCATCGAAAGTACAGAGGCAAAGAGGAGCTCATGGATCCGTGCGACTTTACTATCTACCATGCAATAATGGTTGCTGGATTCGCAGTAAGAAGACCAATTCATCACATGATCACTCGTACTTACTAACCAACACCAGCATCTCAGCGAAGCACAAGTATGCAACACACCCTACCGATCCGTCCTCGAAGGCCAAGAAGCCCAAGTCGAGCAACTCAAGGCAAGGAATCTCCCCTTTAGTAAATACCATATTAACAACCAACAAGGCACGATACTGGTCCCAACCAGCAATCGACCCCGTAATCCTCACCCAGATCTCCCTAATCCTCAGCCTCTGGAGCCCCGGCTGGATCGGGCCCCAGAATAACAGCTACTGGCTCGACCAAGCCTTCAAACACGCCAGCGCCGGCAAGCTCTGGGAACCCCAACCCTCGACCCGACACTGTCGCCGCAGACTGCTATGGTGGTGCTGCCTAATCCGGGACCGCGTCCTGGCTCTCGGCATGCGCCGCCCTCATCGCTTGCACCGCGCGCCTCTGGACGACGAAGTCATTTCACAGAGCGATTTTGGGTTAGAGGCGAAGTATCCGTCGTATACGGATCGGAAATCGAAATCCGTGGCTGTGTTGGCGTTTATCTGGTTTTGCAAATTAAGTAAGATCATGGAAGCTATAGCCGTCGCTCAGCGAAGAAATAAATTCTCCCGCGATTGGGACGGGGAGAGTGCTGCTATCACAGCTATAGAATTGGACGAGGTCAATAAGCTGGATGTCGGTTTGAAGTGCTGGTTAGAGGAATTCGAGGATGCGGTCGCAGAGGCGACGAGGGAGGATGTTGATCAGATAGTTTGGGTTCCGATTTCGACTTTGCGGATTATGGTGCAGTAAGTCAAGCCCTCTTCGCATCGCTTGATATTTGGGTGGGAAAAGGAGACAAATGCTGATTCGTAATCCAAAGTTCTCTCCGCGCAGGCTTATATCAGCCGTACCTGCATCTCCCGATCTCGCACCCGTCTCTCTCGGGTCCTGGCATCGACCCCTTGCAGCGCATGAAAGACGGCGCCAGACAGGTCGCCATGAGCGTCAGCGATGTGATGCAGAATAAGAAGAGTGACGCTATTCCTACTTGGCTGTTCGTTTTCATCCCTCTTTATTCTCCCCCTTTCCTCCTTTCTCTCTCTCTATCCTAACATCGTTTTTTTCTCTATATACAGAGTAGCATGGGTAACTCTCCCCGTGGCGGTATACCACGTCAACAACCGCATCCGCACCAACACCCCGCCCGACCAGATCCTCATGCCCTTCCTGGCACAGCTCGTGCGGCGCTCCTCCGGCGCGCAGATGCTGCTCATGACAGTGCGGACTGCGACCAGGGACCAGATTGAGAAGATTGCTAGGGCGGAGTATGATTCTGAGCGCGAAGGCGAAGCTGGAGCGAGAGCAGGCGGAGTTGGCGTCGGAGTCGGAGGGGCAGGGGGAGGGGGAGGAGGGGGAGGAGGGGGAGGAAGCGGGGGAGGAAGCGGGGGAGGGTATAAGGGTTTCCAGTTCGTGCATTCGCGGTTCTCGGAGGTGAAGGTTACGCGGAGTACGGAGGCGAGGTTACTGGCGTGTGTTACGCGGGCGGTGGATGAGGCGTTGGAGGCGAATGGGAGTTTGGGGGTTGGGGAGGAGGGGTAGGGGTAGGGGGTTCGCTTAAGGGGATGACAGAGAGGGATAGGCGGGTTTTATGATGGTTGGGAGAAGAAGGAGGAGAAGATAAATAATGGCAATATACTTATACAATGAAGACTTGTCCATGCTTCAAATTCATGCTATCCAATCCAATGCAATGCAGTGCACGTAAATATAAAGTGATTCCCACTCCACGGGTAGGAGGGATTTAGTGATATCTGGGAAGATAAATAATGGCAATATACCTATACAATAAAGACTTGTCCATGCTTCGGATTCATGTTATCCAATGCAAAATAAAGTGATTCCCTCACTAACATCCATTATGTATTCAATTACTACTACTGAGTACTAGGCCACCCAAACAATCAGCCTTTGCATTTCATTTTTCCCTCCCCTCTGCCTTCCCCCACCAACAACATAGAAACAGTATACACCTACTAATAATACAACGCCTTCTGCCACCACGTACACCTCTCATTATCCTCAAAATCCGCCACGAGTCCCACCGCATCCGTGAAAAAATCCAACAACATCCGTCCCCCCTCCCCAAAACTCGGAAATTCCACCAACCCCTCCCCATTCGGATCCCCCCTTATCACAAAATTCGTAAAATAATCCTGCATGATCAGCGCTAGAGTGTCGTTGATGACAGCCGTCGCGGGGCCTTCGTAGAACGTGTACGGAACATCCTGCCCGTGCAGCGCGGGCGGGACGCTGAAATCGTACGCATAAGCGGAAGTATTGAAGGCGCGAGAAAGGTACTCGGCGTTGCAGGCAAACAGCGCTTCGGAGACGATGTAGTCCGCGCGAGAGATCTCGTCCGTGTAGCCGTGCGAGCCGTCGAAGATGGGCGGGTAGAGGACGTCGAGGATGTACGAGGTTGCGTTGGTGGCGGCAGCGTCGGGGAAGGAGACTAGGATTACGTTTTCGGTGAAGGCGGTTTCGTTGCCCGGGGGGAGGAAGGGGGATGTGAATTCGAGGCCTTCGTCGTCGTTGTGGCCAACGAGGAGGGTGAGGTTGTGGTCGTAGCCGCCGGAGAGGAGGAGTTTGCCGGGCAGGTCGGGCGCGAAGGATCCGTCGACCACGGGGTCTGAGGGTGTTAGTTTGAGTGCGAAAAGGGGAGGGAGGGAGGGAGGGAGGGTTACTGAATGTAAAATCTCCAAACGGAGCTTCGCCGACGAGGATCGCGTTCGCGAGCTGGAGTTGTTCTGTGGGCGCAGCACGTGCTTCAGTGAGGTTTGTCAGGTTTCCTCTCGTGAGGAATTTCTGGTAGATACGTTCAGGTCGGACGGTGCCGGGGACGGGCAAGAAAGCACCGCTTTGGATGATAGCTTGGCTGAATGGGGAAGGTCCTTTGAGACCACCATACGCCGTCACTTGGTGGATGGTGCTTCCTCCTCCGGCTGATTCGCCCATGACGGTGACTCGGTTGGGATCACCGCCAAAGAGGTGGATGTTTTTTTGTACCCATTCGAGTGCCATTCTTTGGTCGAGCAGACCGTTATTTGCTGTTCCTCCTTCGGATGAGAAGGTGGGGCCTGATAGAAAACCCTGTGATTTTGTTAGTGATCGATGCTGTGAGAGAGGAGTTTCAGCTTACGAAGAGTCCTAACCGGTAATTGATGGCGATATATATAGCACCAGTCTTTCCGTGTGCTTGGCTTGCTGCAACAAGGCCTGCACCTGAGCCGTACTGCGTTTTCCACCCTAAGGTGTATCCTCCACCATGAATCCACAGCAACCTATCTGGTTAGTATGAGAATTATAAGCCTTCGGGTAGTTACTTACACTGGAGCTCCTGATCCGGTGCCTCTATTATCAAATATTGTCTTTGGAACTAAAATGTCTAGCAAGAGACAGTCTTCACTAGTTCCAGGCAGAGGAGTTGGAAGGGTCGTGACATATGGAATTGTATATCCAGCTGATTGATTGATAACACCAATGCCGTTGGTGAGCCAATCGGTCACAATAGGAGTCCATAACGGGATGCCTTGCGGGCACAGAGCAAATCTTGATCCATCATCTACAGGAGGTTTCGCTGGGACATTTGGTACAGTTGGAGGAGAGAACCGAAGATTCCCCACGGGAGGATTGGCGTAAGGAATATTCGAAAAATTGTAGAAATTTCCTGTGGTCTAGATAAAATTTAGCAGCTGTGAAACACTCAAGACAGTGCACACACGTTCAGCCAACCTTGATGAATTTGATATCCCAAATTCACTTGAGCAGTCGTGACATGTGGAAGGGCCCATGTTGACGCATATTGGGCACAGAGCAAGGCAAGATACAATAGGAAGGCCATGGTGAGTAGATACGCTCCCAGATCTATCAAGTCAGGGAAAAAAACCTTATCTTGAACCTTGTTCTCCCCAGAGAGTCTCACCTCGTTTGGAGCAAATGAGAGCTCTTATAGAACCAGATCTAGTAACGACTTCCTGATGACGATCCCCGCTGACCGTTGCTGCTGACTTTTCTGGATGTCTCGGTGCATTCTGCTGCGGCACAAGCTGATGTCCCAGCTTCTTCAACGAGCATAGCCCGAACCAGGCATCCCAGAAACCTTGGTGCTCCACGACATGAGGGGTTTGCTTGCGGTCGTCAAGACCTTGCGGGGACTTCTCTGCAGGACACGGACTTGGACTCGGACTCGGACTCGCATCATGTCGTCGTCGTCCATCGACGCACGGTTTCCTCCTATTGCACATCGCATCCTGGGCTGGGATCTCTGCGGGGATATTTCCATTGGGACGGGACTCGCCCATGGCCCTCAATCCAAGCTCGGTCTGCTCCGAATTTGGCTAAACGATTGCCAATTTCTGTAAGGCGAAGTGATCGCCTCGACGGTACGGTGCTTTGATACTTTGGTCGGATGGTAGTCTACTGTACTGTATGTCGTGAGTGACTATTTTTTTGCAATGCAAGCCACCCCCACCACAGGGCTTGTATGGCTTCGGTAAGCGATGGAGTGGCTCACTTTGAATCTTCCTACTGTAGCAGCAAACCTTCTGTGAACAGCACCAGCAGCAGCACGTCGTCAGGCGTTACTCAGCTCTGACTTGACATGTACAGTACTTACGAAGTACTGTACATGATGTGGTAGGACAGCGAGCCGGGCCCCAATAGGAAGAGTCCCCACGATCGGTGAGGTTGATCTCCCCAGAGGCACCTCACCAAGTTGAGATGAACACGGTCAATCCCTGTCGACGATTTCTTGGTGGGACGAAGTAACGTGATGTGGTGGTGTTCCTCATTAGGCTGATGCCGCGGTGCTTCGGCCCCCTCGGTCGGCATTCGAAGTTTCTGGAGTTGCCTGAACGATGGATCCTCCCCCCCTCCCCCCGTATTCCAATGCACCTACAGGGAGTCCTGGACTCACTGTGGCCCAGGTTTGCGGGGTTCCCCACGAATGGCAACACTGTTTCCCCCCCGCCCCGCCTTGGCTCACTGCAACTCGCCTCCCGCATTCTGTCCATACCAATACATTATAGCAATCAGCTGGGGAACAGCTCCAGGATACTGGAGAGGAGAGCTCGCTGAATGGCCGTGCGCGAGCAGAACATCGAGAAATCGTGTCACCAGCTGATTGCCAAGCAACTATCAATTATCAATTTAGATTGATGGGATCCAGATTCTTGGAAGACCGACCTGCTCGAATGAGAAGCAACCTTGGCAATCATGAGTCCACCGAGGTGACCAGGGAGGAGACCGCTTCCGATCTTTTCATACATATGCTCCATGCTCTCTTCTCAAGTGAGAACCAGCTGATTACAATCTCTTGCCTGCCAAGCAAAACTCGGTTTGTCTTTTTCAATACATCTCGCATTGTCTAGGATCGGTTGCGTAAGGTTACAACGACGACATCATGGCCGAGAAAATTATGCCTCATGAAGATCACGATGATTTGGAGAAGCCCTCTCTCGATGAACATGTCGAGCATACGGGTGAGGCTCTGTGGACCGACCCGAGGATAACTACCTTCACGGTCGAGGAGCAGAAGAAGATCGTATGGCGCATCGACATTCGTCTCGTTCTCACCTTGGGCTTCCTTTACATGATTAGTTTGATGGACAGGACGAATCTGGGTGCTGCCAATATCGCAGGGTAAGTCAATTGTTCACAGTATTCGTAAAGCTGTCAACTGATGACTGATTCTCTTCTAGAATGGCAACGGAGCTGAAGATGAACGATAAGAACAATGCCTACACTGTTGTCTCTGTTGTCTTCTTCCTACCCTACGCCTTCTTCCAACCCGTGGCCACCGTGGTCATCCGTGAGATCGGCCCACGCAGATTCCTAGCTGCTATTGTCCTATTCTGGGGAGCAACGATGATTGTAAATATCCCGTCTCCCTTTGAGTTCTTTACTGACATCCCCAGGGATTTGGTTTCGTGAAGAACTGGCAAACCATGGCTGGCCTTCGAGTCATCCTCGGTGCGCTCGAAGCTGGATTCTATCCAGGTTGCATTTATCTCCTCAGCACATGGTATCCCCGTTACCAGCTCCAGAAACGCAATGCTGTCTTCTACCTGATTGGAAGCATGGCATCAGCGTTCGCTGGTATCCTAGCATATGGCCTCATGCAACTGAACGGTCGAGCCGGTTTGACCGGCTGGAGATGGATCTTCATCGTAAGAGCAAACCCGCAATCACACACAAGTCTCGAAGCTCACCATGATATCTTAGATCGAAGGAGTCCTAACCTGCGTCCTCGGAATCTTCTCCTACATCATGATAGTCGATTTCCCCGAGCTCTCCCCCACCTCCTGGAACTTCCTCAACGAGAAAGAAGCCGACTTCGTCGTCGCCCGCATCGAGCACGACCGCGCCGACATCCAAGTCGAGCCCTTCCACCTCGGCACCTACCTGCGCAACGGCCTCGACTGGAAGATCTGGGGCTTCTCGATGCTCTATGTCTTGACGACCACTAATTCATACGCTATTGCCTATTTCCTCCCCATCATTCTTAGAGATGGCATGGGCTTCGACATCGCCAAGGCGCAGTGTCTCGTTGCGCCTCCTTATGTGGCGGCTGCGATTGTGATGTTCGTTCAAGCGTATTATGGCGATAAATGGCACCTCCGCGGCCCTATCATCGTCTTTAACGCTGCTATGGGTACCTCCCTCCCATCCACTCCCTCCCTTTCCCCTCTCCTCCCCCTTTAAACACCAAACTAATCCCCCCTTTTCCAGGAATCCTCGGCCTCGGCCTCCTCGGCTACACACACAACCAAGCCCTCCGCTACTTCGGCGTCTTCCTCGCCACAACCGCCTGCAACGCCAACTGCCCCGCCCTCGTAACCTACCAAGCGAACAACGTGCGCGGACAATGGAAGCGCGCCCTGACATCCGCGACGCTGATCGGCGGCGGCGCCATCGGGGGTATTATCGGGACGACGGTGTTCAGAGCGAAGGATGCGCCCGGGTATAAGCCGGGGATCTTGACGTGTTTGATTGCGAATGCGTTGATTATTGTTATTACGGCGGCGTTGACGCTGAAATTTTGGAGGGCGAATAACAGGGTGAGAGCCGGGGGGAAGATGATTGAGGGGCAGGCGGGGTTTTTGTATACTTATTGATCAGGGGGGATGTATGGTGGTGGCGGGGGTGGGAGGTTGGGAGATGGATTTTTGGGTTGCGGGATATGTGTGAGCAGAGTGATGGGAGTGGAGAGAATGGATCAGTTTTCTTGACAACAGATTCTGTTTGATGTATATTCAGATGTGAAAAATGCAGATCTGAAGTCCAACCAAAGAGTTAGGAGTCGCTGAGTGACCTAAGTGTAGGCCCCATTCACTTAGGATAGATCTATTCGGACCTAGAGGTAACCAAGACTCTAATTCCAGGAGGAATTAGTGAACATTAAAAACCTTTAAAATACAAACTAGTGAAGAGATGGATAACAAGAAGTTGCGAGCAATATATCCCTGCACCACCCCTCAAACAAGGAAAATAGAAGTTCAGATGTCACAAAAGCAAAGAAGTCTCCGAAATCAAGCGTGCGTGCGTGCGCGATATCGTCTACTCTTCCAAGTCTTCCATTCCCCAGCTCTCGCCCCCTATCCATCTCGCTTCCGAAATCTCGCTTACCACCCCACCTCAATCTTCACCACTTCGGAACCACACCAGCGATGTGTCGACTGAAGCTTCTCGGCACATCCTCTACGTTCTGGATATCGATAAATGATTTTTTTGGGTAAGCAGGAGGTGAAGTGGACGAAGTTCAGGGGGTGAAACGTGGATTGAGCGGATTACTGGATGGGATTTAAAGTTAAGGTTTATGTCCACAAGCGGGTGGGACGATCGTTGTGCGGTGGAGTGAGTGAGGTGTGTCAATTTCCCCACTATGGGTCTGAGGTTTATATCAATATCTACGCAAGTTGTCTTCACAGACACACGCATGCATTCATGTTGACAACACCGCATCGCCAATAATCAACGACAACCCTCACCCTCACCCTCCACAATCAAAATGGCAACCAGCATCCAAGACTTCAAACTAGCATCCACAGCCGCCGGATTCGGGATCCTCTCTGCACCTGGAACGCCATCCAACAAACCAGAGCGCTTCGACGTCCGCCGAGAAGTGTCTTCACCGTCATGATGTGGGGGAGAAATTCTGGCGAATCTGACTGATGATTGGGATTGTTGGGTGGTTGTTTCTGGATGAGGTGTTGGGATCTAGGTATGTAGCTTCTTCGTCTTCAGAGGAAAAAGAAAAAAAAAGGGAAAAAGAGATCTCTTGGTTCTCAGTTAACTGACTCTTCTTAGTGTACCTGTGTTATTCAGTTTGTTGTTTTTGTGGGTCTTCGAGGTGCAGCTTTTGTTGCAGATTATTAGTATTAATCGGATTGCGGTGGTGTTGGATAATCGCGAGTTGATCAGAAGACTGGAAGGTAAGTCAGTAATTCCCATTGAAGATCCGAGAAACCAGGTCAAGACTAATATCAGTAGTGGGGTACCGCATTCACCATGTAAATCCCGCTGTCAACTTGAATATCGGCATCGCTAACATGGTTATCAAGTACACTGATCAATATAGCGGTATTCATCATTTGGATCCCAGCACATCTCGTCCCTCCGCCAATTCCACTGTGAGCACTCTCCTCTAATGCCCCTATTCATCTGTGACTCACAAAACTAACAGATTCGTCACCATCAACAAATACTGGGACCGCACATCCAAGCTCCTCATCCTCCTCGTCGTCGACGCCTCACTCAACTACTTCTTCCTCCGCACCGTCTCGTGCACCACCACCGCCTCACCAAATACACGACACTAGTCCACTTCAATGCCCGACTTATGGTGCTCTCCGTTTCCATGGACGTGCGTCCCCTTTTCCCTCCCTCCAAAAAATCTACCAAACCCCCCCCCTGACAAACAACCCAGCTCCTCCTCATCCTCCTAACATCCCCCCCAAAACCAAATCGTCTACATCCAATTCCACCCCGTAACCTAACCTACATGGTAAAGCTGAAACATCGAACGCTCGATGGCCTCACTCACTCATCACCTGGATCGCGAAATCGACCCGTCCTGGAACGAAACCCTAAAATTAAATATATATCCGTACCAGATCGAGATCCCGAGTCGAATGCTAGTTCACATTTTTAATCTTGGGGGGGTAGTTTCGACGAGTACACTTGTACCGCCATCCCCGGTCCCGAAGACGCCTTTGCAGAGCGGGTTTGGGGAGAGGTGTTTGAGTCCTACGAAAGGGAAGGGGGGGTGAGGAGGGAAAGTGGAGAGGGTGGGAGGAGAGAGAGGAGGGGGAGGAGGAAGTGGAGGTTCGAGTTGATGGTGTGAAGGAGTGGGGGAGAGAGAGAGGAGGGAGAGGAAATAAAGGGAGTGTTGGGAATAATTCGATGGGAGGAGGCGACGAGAGAGATGAGTCTAGATGAGACAGGGGTTGATAGTGATCCTGTGCCAGCGACGCCCAAGATCTGTTGGAAGAGAACTGGAGATGTGAATACGAATGAAGAATTTTGAGCCTGATTGGCGTTTTGGTTTTCTGTGGCGTTGACTTGGGGTTATGAAACTGTTGCTGGTTGAGTAGGCGTTTGGTTTGGTGCTATGTCCACAGCGCGGGCGCCAGCGATAGATGACAAATTTACTTCTTTGCCAGTGGTGTGAGACTTGATGAAGTATCAGAGATGTCCTTTCCAGAAGGTCTAACTGACCCTCAGATCCCGAGAAGTGAATGGCTCCGTACAAAACCGTCGAAGGATACTTCATTGCAACCACAACCGGAACAAGTCATGATAAAGGGTATCTATTTCATTATTCTCAAAGCAGAATTTCTGTCCCGTTCTACATAGGACCTTGTCTCTTTCGCTGAAGTGCGATCGACTGCGAGATATCGTCTTCTGGAAACTGTTCAAGAAACTGATCCTCTAGTCGTTTCGCTTTCTCCGAATTAGCCTGCTTGCTTTCATCATACAATGCCCTCAACTTCAACATCAGCTCCTTCTCATGCTGGGAGTTCTTATCCTTCTGCGCCCTCAAATCATCCAGAGCCTTTTGATACATCGCTTCCGCCTGGGGGTATTTCTTCTGGGTCTGGTATGTCATTCCCAGATTGACCCGCAACTCCAATAACACCGGATTAGACGTTCCTGTGACTTTCCGCTGTAGAGCCAGGACACTCTCATATATCTTCTCCGCTGCTTCAAACTTCCGTAAGAAGCATTTCATCTGTGCCGAAAACAATAAAAGCTTAGTCGTCTCCGGGTGCTCATTACCGAGCCGCTTTTCGGTAGTATTTAATGCCTGCTGCAAGAATCCTTCCGCTCGCTCGTACCTACCTTGTAATTGCAACGCTTTTGCAAGCTTCTGTTGGATCTTGGCCACTGCCGGATAATCCAGACCAAATTCGTTAACGTATGACACCAGTACACGGCGATACAACGCTTCTGCTTCTTCATAATTCCCGTCCGCCAAGAGACACGAAGCAAATTGCTCCAGCAGAAGCAATGTTCGAATATCCTCGGAGCCCCAAACTTCCTCGAAGCGTGGTAAGATCGAATAGTAGCGTTCCTCGGCCTCTTCAAAACGATTCTGGATCTTGTAAAGCGAGGCAAGACTTGCCGAGATTTTCAACTCTAGATTTGCGATTTTGTTACAATCTCCAGGAGCTTTTGTTGTGCGTGTGGCAGCTACGATATGGTCTGTGGCTTTCTTGTACTGCTTTTCTGCTTTGTCGAGGCGCTTCTGCTGAATATAGACAAACCCCAACTTCATCCGTAGCCTAGCAGCTTCGATTTGAGAACTTGGTCGCTCAGTTTCCGCTTCAACACTCTTCAATGAGAATTTGTAGAATTTTCTCGCGTACTGATGGAATCCTTGATATCGGCAAACATCAGCAAGGACAGACCACTTCACGTCAATCTTCGGGTCACCATTGACCATGTCCAGATGCTCAAGACATTCTTGAAGGTGGGGAAGAAAGCTCTCAAGGCCGATCAGATCCGAGGGCGGCCTTTTCGACGATTGAATAGCAAGCGCAAGGGCTTGAAAGGCTCTCTCGGCCATTAGTCCCTGAGCGACAGGATTGGGTAGTCGCTTTTGTGCCCAATGATGCACTAGGGGGTGGATGGAAATACAATTAGTCGTCTCGTTGATATTGACACGTTGGTGAAGAACATTGAGGTTGAATTCGGCTGAGGAAGTCTCCATCATGGGGAAGAGAAGTTCTGGACTGTCGCGCCCTGAAATCCATGACATAGCATCATCTTCTGATTTTCGTGGTGTGGTACACGACTGGCGTGTAATTAGAGACCGATGAGCAAGGTCTTTGAGTGTGTGTTCTAGCTGTCGATCGGAGGCTTCCTCCGGATCGTATGTTGTGATGACTTGCCTGAGTAACGATACTGGGACATCATCCTTCGCGTAGAAAGAACACAACGTGAGAAGATCCAATGCCGCTGGGTTAGAAGATTCTAAGTCTTGGAATTGATGCTCCCAGTCTGCATAAGTGAGGACTGTTGGTTCATGAAGACCTTTCCATTGTTTCTTTGAGACATGCTCATTAGCGGTGAGGATCTCATCAACGTGTGTGTCGTTGTAGCCATTCCATAATTCAGGTGGCCATTTATTGCCAGAAGTTTCGGTCACATGGAGGTAAGTTGGAAGAGTGAGAGACAGTGTATTGATGAAGGTTGCAGCCTGAGAAATTGACATCGGCAAGTGGTTGCAACCATCGACCACTCTTTCGAGGGCGGAGTCATCTAGCCATAGAGTTAATTTGACAGGGTAGATAGGTTGCGACGGAAGAAACAAACCTTCGTCAGGATCAGAATCACGAATCAGCTTCGGAGTTAACAGACTCAGAAGTAGTAATTTACCCTCTCCTTTGGTCATGTTATCCAATAGAACGTCCTGATACCCATGTTTCTCAACGTAACCCTCCAATCGAGTAACAATAAGAATGTGTCCAGAGACGGGGGTAGGGAAGAAATCTGCCAGTATGGTAACATCAGATTCGTCGATATTGTCGAGAACCATCAGCCATTTGTTATTGCACACTTGGCTGAACCACATATTTATAGCATCTATCAGCGGCGTTCCAGCAATCTGTTCGAATCCATCTTCCCGGGTCTTGTCGTCGATTAGGTCGCTGAGACCAAGATGGCGATACACAGAATCAAGCGAATCGGACGTTCCCATTTGAGTCGCATAATGGTCTACCAAGGCCTTTGCGAATACAGCATAGCTTGATTGGATAGAATGAACGCTACTGGCATTGATCCAGAATATGGTTGAAAAAGAAGTATCATTCCGTCGGCAGCATTCGAGTGCCAAGCGAGTCTTTCCACATCCTTGGGGACCATGAAGAACGACGATTCTCTGGTCAGGCTCTTCTTGGGAAATTTTATCGAACAGTTCTGATAGTTTTTCCTGGCGTCCGACGAAAGTATTACTATGGCGTGTTGTTGATTTTGGCACAACGCCTATGTTGAAGTTGTCACGGAATGTGTCGGATGTTGGGGATTGCGCTGTGCAGATTCTTAGCAAGTATTGATGAGACAAAAATCCCTGGCTGCTTACCTTTTTCATCTTCGCGCTGTATGGCAGAATGCCGGTTCTCCAGAGACGAGGTAGTGCAGAGACTACTGACGGTCTCAAGCACATCTCGAGGAAACTCGGCACTCTTTTGGCTTGATGAAGAGTCTGTCTCTGAGGAACTGGAGGTTCTTGTCCTCTTTATGCTGAATCTATTACTTGGCCGCCTCCCAGGTGAGCGTGTAGTGGTAGGAGGAGGAGTAGGAGGATCGCAGTGCTATAGATGCGTTAGCAAAAAGCTATTCAATGGAAGAGTGGGTAACTCACCACAATCTGGACGAACACATCCTTACACAGACCTTGAAATTCTTCGTTTTGCAGCTTGTAAAGTTTCTCGCCAACAATTCCCAAGTTTGCAGGTTTCAACGAATGCTCGCTGTGAGTAGGACTGAGAAGTACAGCACCCAGTGTCGACTGCTTGATCCCAATACTGATCGTATTCATGCCCGGTTCTTCGATTCCAGCTTCGCATGACTTCAAGAGAGCTTTCTTGACAAGCATGCCTCCCAAGCTATGTGCTATAAACACAATAGGCCTTTTCCCGATGTCTGCCTCCGACCGCACCGTCGCGAGTTCTTCCAATAAACAGTTCGTGTGGCTTTCCAACGCATCTTCAACTCTGTAACCCGAGCTGTATGCTCTTGTATCATAGCTCCAACTTAGTATTCTTGCGTTCGGGTTTCTGTGCGACAGTTCGCTCGTTGAGAAGGCGTCCTGCACCTGCGATGCATTGCGACCGCCACTGAGTCCATGCACGTATACTATACTATGCGGCTGTTAGCAGATAGTTCTTCGCATGGAGTATCGTATGCCAACATACTCTACATTTGGGCCATTTCCCGGTTCAACGACCTGGATAAGTCCCGGTCGCACATTCGGAACACTGCTGTCGCCCTTCGTGGCCTTCTCTATCCGCTTGTATTTCCAGCTAATCTTCTTCTGTATGGTGTTCAAAAGGGGCATTTCAGTGATTGTCTCTCAACCGATCATCCTGTTGGACGTGTGGCGATCGTTGCCTTGAGACCCTAACGTTCCTGTTGCAAAGGCTTTGAGGATTAAATTCATAGCAGACAACTGTGAGCGAAAAGAAACAAGTCAGAGGTGGCGTGGCTTTGCCTCTGACGTCCGGGAAACCATTCATTGTTTGCGAACAATCCTCGTACGGTGCCTCGTACAGCTGACCTGTTCTGCTCCCGCGCACAATGTTAGTTAGGCTGACTTGGCCAGAGCCAATGGTAGAGGTGCTACAGTGGCTGTGGCTGATGAAAATAACGCCACATTTCACGGTTCTCGCCTCCCTTCTGAAGGACGATGAAAGCCGACTTTTGTCAGTAAAAATTGTTATTGATAATTTGACATACACTATGAGAAGCCGAAGACTGATATTTACTAATTCTTTCTGTAGAGGTCGGAATAGATGAGGAATTTACAGAAAAGCGATCACAGGTCAGTTCCACGAATATTTCTTCCACGACAACAGCGCAGGTTTAGTAACTCGAAGAATTTTGAAGCTGCCTCTATTTTACTATTGCTGCTATTTTAAAATGCGAACAGATCAAAAGGTCTGTCGCGGAACACTGCTTCAAGTCCTAGATCTGGATATCTGTTAACGAACTTTCCGGTCAGGATATCATCTGAATCTTCTCCAATAATGATCAGAAACGGGACCTTGTAATCGTCCACCTTGAAATCATCTTGCACATTCCCTTTAGGGCCTAAGATTAGTATATTCAAGAACCGTTCAAATCTTTCCACTGCTGCTTTCAATTCTGAGGCCGCTTCTGGAGTAGGTTTTTCCTTTGGAAACAGCTTGTCGATGCCGGTCAGTTTTACGGCTGCTTTGCGCAAAGCTTTCTGCTCGAATGCCTTTTGAGGTTCTATGTAATTTTCTCGGAGCTTCTTCGAAATGGTCTTTTTCGAAATGCGATGAACATGAGCTAAAACTTCCTTCGCCTTCGCGTCGTGGTCTTCTCTTGCGGAGAAGAATATTCCTGCATCGACACGATCGAAATCTCCTAGCAATCCGGTGGAGACCCAGGAACTAAGTAGTCGGTCCACCAGCTCTGCGTTTTGCTCCACGATCGGACCTCGGAGAAGCACATTGCCAATTCTCATAAGAATCTCTTCGATTCTTAGGATGTCGACGTCCATTTCTACATCATAATCGTTGTATGACATATTCGAGCGGGCGCTTTCGTGGGATGGGGTATATGTGAAAGGATGTCCATAGACATCAAGGTGCGACGTTGAGGAGAAAGACGGTCGTTCTGATCTTTTCTGAACAAATGGTCTCTCCTCCTTTGGAACATATGCTACGGGGATAAACCAATCCTCGAGTTCTCTTGTGTGTCCTGTTCTACCTTTGCGTTCTGGTTTATCGAAGAGGTCTATTCGGGCTTTTCGAGCAGACTCTGAGAATGTCTCTCCATGGACAAGTAGATTGCGGTAGAAACTATCACAAAGAATCTCTACTGCTTGTCCATGGATGCCGAAGGACATTGCCAGAATGTGGGAAACGCCTCTCTCGGCAAAGATCCGACAGAGGTCTGCATCATCACCCTTACTCGACTTTCCCGACTCACAAGCAGTAAGGACCACAGATGAAATTTCGTGTTCGTGGAGTAGTTTTGCAATATTCGCTGCTGGCACTTTTCGTAATTTACCATTAGCGTTTGCAAAACTAAGGTAAGCATTGTGTTGCTGTTGCCTGTCTCGTTGTTAGAGACCAACAATTGGAACCTGAATTTGTGTTACTTACTGTTCGCCTTCATCAGACACTTCGCCATGTAAGTCAAAATGAATTAAATGGAAGAATCCTTGTCCATGCTCCACCTTCTTTCGGGCTAGATGATCTTCCAGCGCTTGAAAGCTTCCTGGTCTCACGACCTCCAAATGAACTGCATAATGACTACGCTCTTTGAGTAACAGCTTCTTAACTTTCATGATGGATCGATACACCATGGCCGGAGAGAGATCCTCCAAACCTGACGTGCCACGTTTGAGCCGTCTAGCAATGACAAGCAGCACATTGATCTGCTTATCCTGTCGAGTATTTCGTGGTTTCTTGACTGGTGGAGGGTCTAAAACCCGGCGAACGCTCACTTGGACAGGATCATTGCTTCGCGGAAGACCTGGCCAATACCGCCTTTGTACTCGCTCCAAGTGTTCCCAGTGTATATGGTAGATTGACGAATTGTTTGTTCGATGCGCTCCTTGCAGAATATCAATCCGAATATTGGGATGCTCAAAGGGCCCAGGCTGGGGCCAATTCAACCTGCTCATCAACTTTCCCCCATAGCCCTTGACCGTGGGAAATATTTTGTCCGCTCGATCTTCATCGTAATGGCTCGCTCGTAAACAACATCCCAAATACCAGTCACATTCTTCATGGTCTTCCCTGCTGAATGGGTCGTGGAGGCGGCACGGGCCGCGAGGCAAAATGGTGTCGACTTGGATCTTGATTTCGATACTGTCCTGTGAGAGTGAAGCTCTAGGGGTAGCCTCGCTGATCGTTATTGTATGGTAATCCTCTGCTGGCAGACTGACAGCACTCGACCCTCGGGAAAGAGACTTGAGGAAACTTTTTACCCTCATTGCCAGGCACACTTCGCAACATCTTCCACTGCAACATGTCGCAGAGAGCCGGGGCACTTCGAGGTTTTGCGGCTCTTGACCACATTCGAATCTTCGAGTTCAGCCCCCGGCCAGATGCGCTTGTGGCTTGCAGGGCAAATTTGAGGAGCCCCGCCAGCCCCTTGCTCGGGCGGTGCTGTGCAATATTGGGGGCGATGCCATGGTGACTCCTCGAGGCAGAAGGCCCAGGTCCATAAGGAAGCCTTGCCCCAGCTTCAGTCGACGTAACGTACTCGATCATATTTTCGTACAATATAACTTCGTCGTCAGCACAAAACTCACTCAAATCTGTGCCGTCCTCACATATCACTTAACCTCGCAATATCAGCCTCAGGCACAACGAATAAGCATAAGACTCGAGCCGAGCCGCCACTCAAGATGCCGAGCGAACACAGAATTCGTGGAAAGTACCACATCCTCGACTTTCCACTCCCAGGAGCTTGGGCAGACAAGTTATTGGGAAGAATTGTTTTCGACAAAGCCAATCCTATCAGCTATACGGCTCCGTCAAACGATGGACCAAATGGTTCCTCTATACCACAAAATATCGTACCGGAGATCGCCAGCGATCGAGTACCCTACAGCACACTCTCCTACCTCCTGAACGACTTCAAAGATGTGGAACAGAATCTCAAGCTCACTCACTTCTTCGAGGAAAGGGCAGCGCAAGCAACCTCTGCCACGCATATTATCACTGCCATCAATGCGGAAAGAATTGACATGAGCAATATCCCAGACAAATTGGAGATGCTATGGGCGAACGAAACCTACAAAAAGGCCGCAGAGAAGATGCTATGGCAGCAAGGACATACACAGAAGCTGGGAATGGTGACTGGAATATACGTTTCGAAATCATTGACCGTCCAAGTCGAGGACTCGAAAGACAAAGCGATCGGTGCACACATCAAAGCCCCTATCAGCGAGGCAATGGGTGACCCTACAGGCACACTGGACGTCTCAGCTGGAGCACAATACGAAGCTGGAAAGACTAGGACTGAACAATTCGACATCGACGTCCCATGTGTGTTCGCTGTTGCGTACACGGAAGTGGGGCTGCGGCCAGTTCAGCGCAAATCCGAACACAAGAAATCAAGATTCTTCCGCATCCCAGGAAGTAAGAAGCTCAAAGACGACGTTGAATACGAGATATACGTCGATACAACTCCAGGGGCAAAACTTTTTGCTGGGAGCAGTGGTAGCAGCGAAAGCGACAATGAAAGTGAAGCTGGATCCACGACAAGTACTCGTGTAGATTCATCTAAAGTTGCAGGGACAAGCGATACTGCCAACGATGAAGGTTCGGAAATTAGGTCAACTGCAAGTACGAATGTTGAGGAACCACGTCTGGTTGAAAATGCGCCTTACGTTTTCAAGTCTCCTCAAAGTGTTTTTGGGAATGCTTAGTTTTGTCGATATCTGTTGTATTTGTACTTAGCGCTCTTGCATTTAGCGTCTTTGCGGAGTTTGATTTATGATACCTCATGGGAAAAGAAATCGGTTGCAAGGATGCTTGGATATGGATATATGTTTTAGTTACAATAATGAATCACGCTCAACAGACTATTTCTTAATGGTATCACACCCCACAATTCTTGACACACACAATGGACAAGACCTATCTAGGTACCTTCGTGGAATAGGGGTTGGTGATATACGACTGATTGCATTTCGATCAAAACTCTCATACGTCAGCACACGCTTCACAAGTAAGCATCCTCTTTTTGAACTCATTATGCCAATACTATTTCGATCGCATAGAGTCTGTAGATCGGGCTGCGCTGTCTTCTTCTGGCCTAGATTTATTCCCTTGCGTCTATGTAGTTAAGATTATCTAGAACATCGCTGGGTCTTCTAGACTCTTTGCTCGAAGTGTGGAAGTTTTGTTGACGGATAACTAGTACTCGTTCAAGCAGCTCAAACAATCTTCCAAAAGTGAAACAGCTGTAACGCAGCCTGAAAAGAAGATAAATAGGCTAGGAAATATGATTATTCTATATGCTATCAATGCTAAATACAATACAATACATCATTATACAACCCCAAACACCACGCTCACTATGCTTCATAAGACATCGTCACGCTCGTAAACAAATGAAATAACACCCCTAAGACGACTGATCACCATGCACCACGTTCACAGTGACGTTGTTGGCAGTGCCGCCGTCAGTTCTCCTGTAAGGCTCATATCCAGGCCTATATCCGGTCTGCTGAATCAAGTTTCCATACTCGTCATACTGATTGAAGCCTTCATACTGGTACGCCAAACGAGCTCTACGTCGACGGATAAGCGAGGCGACCACGAGGAATATAACGAAAGCGATGACCACCGCTGCGCCAACACCGATCTTCCTCCCCAAGCTCCAGTGACTGATGGTGTTTATTACGTTTCCAGAAGAGTCTGTAGAAGTGTTTGGAAGGGAAGGATTCGTCTGGTTTGGAACACCGGCTTGAGTTGCGTTGCTGGCTACCGAAGTCGCAGTTGCTCCTCCAATTTGAGTTGCGATCGATGCGAGGAGAGATGTAGGTACAGGTTGATCGGCTGGCTCACAGAGTCCGTCAGGAAGGCCGGTCTTCGGGTTGACACCGAGTTGTCCAGGTTCGCAACAGAAGTAGCTGCCTCCCTGATCGAACATATTCCAAGATGTGTTCGCACAGCGTGGGAAGTTCGTCACCGCAACGAGACAGCTATCAGCTAGAGTAGTAGTTAGTCTCGATGCCCCATATTCGAGAGGAGATAATAGTACTGTACCTGTTGGACAACAAGCGAACGCAAAAAGACCTGATGGCCAGACACAGAATTGACCAGCGGGGCAGCATGAGGGGTTGACCTCGCCATTGTTGCACTGCACAGGAGCCTCCGCAGGGCACGTGGTGTTCAGAGCGGAAAGTGCTAAAGGCCAACCGCCTTGGTATTCTGCTCGAGGGTTGAGTTGCTGGATTGCTCGATCGGCGGCGATGAAGGCTTTGGCCCCCACAACAGCCGATACGTAGGCGACTCCCAAGGTCAAACTGATAGGATAATTGAAGAACATGATTTGGAATGCCAAGAGAAAAGATGCAATGTATGTGTGAGATAGGAAAGACTTGCACTTGCAAGGTCGAACTTATACACTTGATCTCGTCCGAAATGAGGGCTATCGTGGGCTATGCCTAGCTCAATCAGGCTGTGTGAGACAGAAGAGAATATTGATTCTGATCAAGGCTGCCAATGGAAGACTTCGTGGATATTTGGCGTCGAAGAATGGGGAGCGGCTGAGTAACGCCATTGTCGGTTCTGTAAATGCACGAGGCTCAGTTGGCAGATTTTGCGCCGCAAACTCGGTTGTCTCAGGGTCAACTTGGGCGCAAACCCACTGTCTTGGGACTTAAAGGTACCAACAGACTTCGCCTGATGAAATAATTCTCGTGATACTCGTTACGTTGGAATGATGGCGATGCAAACGTGGAGCATTGAGCGCCGGACCATTTCGTGCGGTATCGGATTTGTATCAGCTCTCGCAAAGAATGGTGGCTTCGCCCGAACACTTGCATGTCTTGCACGGCTTGAAAAACGGTACATCAGCATGTCAACCTATCTCAAGAGACATGGACAACCTTCATCAGCAACATTTTAATTGAAATGTTGGGTTTGCCGGAGATTGCGATGAGAAAGCTTGTAATTGGCAGTTTGTAACACATATTGTATGAGACATCGAGCCGATAGCCTGCAGTCATTCGGCCTCAGCCTTGTCTTGAACGTCACTTGACCCCGAGTGCATTCTGGAGATTTTATATGTTCTCGGCCTCACCGTGCCCGTCTGCCATCTCGTCTAGGACATGAGCCCAATATAGCTAATGCTGTAGTTTCGGTCCGGATATTCGCGGTAGCTTGGTGAAGCGTGCACCTCAAATGTAACCTCTGAGTGTCCGCGAAGCAAACAATATGGATATCGGGTCGTCACATAAGTTGTAAAGACTTTGGTATCAAAATCAGGGGGGCTAAGCTGTTGATGCCTAATTAGCAATATAGGTACGTTGCTGAGGGGGGTTTTAATTCTCGTTGTTTGAATAAGCTTAATTTGATAGTGCTCGGTCTGAAAAGTACTCATTTCCGCGCTAAGTGCGGCATTTCTCAGTACTTATCCCAGCCGCCCTTGCCCTTCGCTTCACAACTCAGCTTTTGCACAATCTTATAAACATCACAACATACAGATGCTATCATTGTGCAATAACCTTCAGCCAAGATATAGTTTCACCCTTCCCATTCTTCTCTTCAAATACAATCGTAAGCGCTCACATTATACTGCAAAAGGACGGCAATATGCTGGTCACTGCGTTCGAAACAGCGTGGACCGTTCCTAGCCCAACATCCGATGCCTCCGCAGCTTTATGCTCATTCTCCTTGATCAAAGCGAAGATGATGTGGTTCATATCCATCTGTGTCAAGGGTTTGTCTAACCGTCTCCAACCTTCCTTGTATGGAACACGTTCCTCCTCTACAAATCCTGTCAGCTCCTTCCAAAGACGGATTTCTCATTGGAGATTTGTGGTGCTTACGGAACAGAACCCTGAGATACTCTAGCGGAATCTTCCCATCTTTCGGACTTCCTAGAATCCCAAGAAACAACGCAGATTCTCCATAGCTCAAGATGAATTCCTTGATCCCGTACTGGAAGTCCTTCTTCGCATCTGCATGAGCCTGTTTAGATGCTGCAACTCTGCCATATCTTGCCTTGCTCACACTCGCGAAGCTCGTCTCGGTGGCATCGCCATAAGTCTTCATGACTTCTTCCCAGAGCTCGCTGTTGAAAGAATGGTTATCTCCAAATGCAATGTCGTTTCTGCTCAGCGAAACATCATGTTCGATCAGGCCGTGCTTGTCAACTTGGTCGAGGTCGAAGGAGTGAGCGGAGTGGTCGGGATTTGCGGTCACGGCAACAGAAGCAAAAACATTCGCAATGCCGGAATCCAGATTCAGGGAACTTGTGAGAGCTTCCACAGCCATCGCTTTCGTGATTTTTTTACCCGAATGAGGCAGGATATGGTGATTCGCGAGGGCATTGATCATTGGACAAGGTGAGCGCACTGAAGATTGTTAGTTTTCGGTGTTGGGGAGATTATAGGGAGTTACTTGCCATCTCCTTCGCCTGCAGGCTCCCATTTTGACCAGTCTATAGCAGGGTGACCTGCTGGGGTCTCTGAAGACATCGCGAAAAGCAACGGTGCGACGTGACTCTGGAACTTGGTGCAGGGTGAGACTGAGGAGAAGGCGGGAACCGAATGTACCAGCAGAGCACAGGAGAAGCGGGAACCAAACGTACGACCAGAGGAATGCAAAATGAATTCCTAGTTGTTGGATTAATGAGACTTTGGGCTTCATTATCTTTGAAAAGACGTCCACTTGCTTTTTACACACAGCTAGTTCACGGCGGGCTGAAGGCTGCAGAAAGCTATGTTTTCAGCTTGTGCAACTCCACGTCGCATGCATAACATCATTGGCCAGCATTCACTAGTGGAGCAGCCTTGCATAAAAATGCCCATGTACTGGTCATCGGAGTAGCAATGATTGGAGAATGTCCCGCTTCGGTCGTACTTTTGGTCTCGTAACCCGCTGTTGCAGCATGCACGACGGCGGGGTAGTCAGAAGGCGGCGTTTCTATACGCTTGACAATTTGGGCGGCCAATTAAGATTTCAGAGAAATATAAAATCAGGACTCAAAAAACAACAGTGTAATAACCCCATAAATTTAAATTTCGAAGGGGAATGTGAAGAAGTACGTGAAGTGATATTTGTACCAGATACTGTAAGCCCCACTTTGCCCCACTTTGCCCCGCTTCGTTACCCCTCTATCATTGAATTGTGACATGGGGATGTCCTTGCAGCGAGCAGCGAATTCAGTCTCTCAAACATATAGAGAATAGAACAGAGTCTATCAATCCGTAATACTATCTTTCTATGCAAACCATCCTCAAAAAACGATTTGGTATAGGAGTGAGCGGTAGGAGTGCGGGATAGATTAACAATGCATGGTGCCCTCTACTCGGTCAATATAACATCAAAGCACCTTTGCAGGAGCTTCTTTGACAAGTTCTCGACCTCGGTCCTCATACGTTACAACTTGTTCCGGCATGAATGACTCGTCGGATAGTTCAAGCTCAGCAGTGAACTCATTATCGACTGTATACTATTCAGCGTCTATTTCGTACCAATTCGAGGAAGCACTGCCAGAATTTGACCAGGAAGTCCCGAAATAAGACTTTCAACCTTTGAGCGTTGAATGATATTAGCAGCTCTTATCATCCTCGTCTGCTTCAAGAACAGGAGGCAGTTGGCACAAGCTTTGTGACTAAGTAATTTCAGGCTCGAGTTTCACTTGACTCCCACAGATGAGTTCAAAGCCTTTCAAATAAAAAGCTCAGATTTATGAATTTAAAAACATTCGATCTATATGGCTGCGCCGGACCAGTAATCAGACATTGAGTGATGCTTCGAGATCTCGTACCAGATGCGCCAGATACACAACAGCTGCTACCACTTCTCCCGACACTTCTCGAGATCGACTTGTATTCTATTGTGGGAAAAGATAAGGGAGTAGAATACTAGCGGGATCCCCTCATGGGAAGCAATATAAGTCAAGTTTGGGTTTGATTTGGATGCAAGTAAGAATGTACCAAAGTATCTCGCTTAACCCCCTTTCTAGCCGAGTCTTGCGAAGGAGGCCTCATCCCCATCTTTGATGAATATCCAAACGTGGTACTTAGAAGCTTTTTAATTCGGTGTATAGCATGCACTCGCATTTTTTCCATGACCACTTATCTCACTAATGTATCAATGATACCGGCAAGCGTAAGAGGTTGACAGGTGGCAATGGACAGGCCTCTACGCGCATTTAAGTTCATTGTTCGACTTCTATAACCTTGTGCAATCTATACACGGGGGGCTGTCATTAGAAGCGTAAGTGAGTTCTCGCTGGAAACGAGCTCGACGAAATGTAGCAAGAAATGGAAGTTTCCCTTCTTCGATGTTTGATGAACTATTGTAATACCACGGCATGGTCTACGTTTAGTTTCAATCTAAGCTTTGGAGATGCACTGAAGGCTAACGAGCTTGGAACTTTCGCTACTGGGGAGCACCGTCAAGACCAAGTTAAAAGTAAACTATAAATACAGAGTTATCTAATGATTTCTTGGTTAATGCTATGAGACAAGGCTTATTATATATATACTGGATTTTTTTTGGGGCATTTGATAAGATGTCGGATGCCGAACAATTCTTGTATTCGTGAAGCATGCTTCGCATACGTGCAACCAAAAAATCATCTCACAGATGAATTAATCCACGGACCAACTACCGAGTGGACGATCTTTTAAAAGCAAGGCAACCTCCTTTCTTTACTACTTTGCTTTCTCTTGTAAAAAAAAAGAGAGAATAGCAAAGTGTATATACCATTTTCCCTAAGTCACCCCGAATACGGCTACGATCTTGTAAAGGAGCAGAATTAGCGAGCGCTTAGCAAAAATCTTTACCTCCGTAGCGGCGAAGAAGCCTGCAAAACATCAATCAACAACAAAAATTCCAAAAAAAGAAGAGAAAATTTGCGTTCGCCGGGAATCGAACCCGGGGCCCATCGAAGTTGAAGATGTAATCTTTTGGCAACTGTTTTATGTTAGATAAGCTGAATGAGATGCTTGCGGATTGGGTGTACGAACCGATGGATTTTACCACTAAACCACAAACGCAGATGGACAACAAAGCCTTATTGGATAACATAACTATACTTTGCCAAATCAAGTGCTGACTACGCTTACTTAAGCGTCTCATTACGGCCCCACTTTTTCTCTATTGGTCGAGCCACTTTTCGGTTAGTTGTATGCTACAATACGGGAATTAGCAATGTGGTTTTTGAAATATTTATTTATTTTTATCTTTGTGAGTTTTTATTATTTTAGATATTAATTTATTATAAGCTCTAAGTTAACATAAATTCGGTCTCATTTTCAGTCCCCATTACTAGTATAAAAATATAGCAGCTCCCATTGTTTACTTAGCTTCTTGCTTCACTGCTTTTCTCTCTTCAGCCTCGCCTGTCTGACTCGATACAACCACTCCCCTTTCCCCCACGCCAAGGTCACATAGTCATCAACGCAGCTCCAAATCACACTGATACGAACGAGCGAATATGGTGCGTCTGCGTAATCTACTCAACCAACATTACCTCAGTCAGCAGGGAAATACTGCTGATGGCTTACTGTACTCCACGACCCTCGATTTCCAGGACAGTGCTGCAAGAACGCACAGATTCTATGCATTCGAATTACCATCTTGCATAATGAAACCAACGTGATGCAGCAAGGGTGATTCCAGAAGTTCTTTCCGAGGCTTTCAGGATCAAGATTAGCAATCAGCATGAGCCAATTACCCTCAGAATGTCGCATTCTTTTTTTCTCTCATCGCAGCAGTCCTTCTATGCCCCTCATCCGTGGGGATACCTACTATTCGATACAAGGTATCTTCAGCACGCGGAATGTCGGCAGCGCGTATCATCTTGTTAGATAGAAATTGAAGATCGCAGATGAGTGAGGAGGTTATGTCAGCCTGATACAGGAACAAAGGCTTAACCCGTCCCGTTGAAAATTAAGAGTAGAGATTACGGCTCGGAGGAAATGATCTTTACGTAGTGGAAGAAGAGGTTGCTTGGACAGTAGGCGGTTGGGTAGCAGATACGACAACGATTGGCTGGTGAGTACGGAAGCGATTGGCGAGCATCAAAACAATTGGCAGGCTAGCTAGAACGTGGATTGGGAATAACCGAAAATGAGTGTGATCTCAGCTGAATTACTTCATCTTTAATTGTGGAAGATTTCCCATGGTCGCTGATTTTCACGACTTTGGTAGATTGCCAAACCTGCAAGGTTGACCAAAATTGCTTATTGCTCACGTCTGAAAACTTTGAATGATGAAGCTTTTAGTAATGAACGGTCGATAGTCATTCAGCTAGAGGGTCTTTCGTTCTTATATCCAACCCATTCATCACTCCACCCTTTCAAAAGTATCTGTCCCTGCCTATGTTCATTTTGAATCATGCAGTAAACCAATTCAATCCCATTGACCATTGTACCAAAACTTTCGTGTAAGATTAACCGATAAGTACATCGGCCGAGGTCTCTGTGAATTTGGCACCCTAGAGACATCAGCTATTCTTTGGTTTTCCCCATTGGACCTGGACATCAAAAGCTTACAGTCTCTAAGGTTTCACGAACTTTATTCTTGATGAGCTGCTTAGATTCAACATCTACATCTGTCAGAAAGAGAGCGTTGGTATTTTAGATCTCAGCAGCGCCTGTGTATTCTGAAGTTTTGAAAAGGGGTTTCACCTGGAAAGGTAGCAGCTGCCGACCCAATTGCTAGAACAATAATACAAGATAAAATGTTCATGACCCTCATGATGAATGACTGGCGAATTTGTTACGGGAGAGATGTCTTTGCTTTGGAATTCCATCGTCCTCAAAATGAGAGAACATGTCGATTTATATAAAATTTTGTAATTGCTTGCATTTCATTGTTATAGAACGAGTGATGTATTGAAATCATGCCTCCTATTCCCCAATCTTTACACCGAAGCGAACCATCACTTTGTTCTATTATTGGTTGTGACTGGAACTATTCTCACACCAGAATTCGGCAAAGACGACCATTCGAGACTCCACCTGCTCAAGTGCAGATAAACTACTGACTGTGCATATCATGGACACTTCCTCAGCACATCCGGAGAGTCCTGGATTCTTCTGCTAACGAGTCGGACTGGAGCCGGCGACGATGCAGTATCACTTAATTATGATTATGTGATACAATCAAGAAGACAACATCAATATCATGATCAATCACTCGTGTACGGGACGAATGGCGCACAGAGATTGGTTCTTGCGTGCAACCTCGAGGATCCAACTTTCGAGAGTTGGTGATAAGACTTGCATGAGAAACTTTGATTACTGTACTTTCTGCCCCGTTCTTGACATACTGGCTCCCCAATTTGTGCAGAGCTGATGTAGACTTGCTTGTTTTCGCATTGCGAAATCGCGTGCGTGCATGTCTCTTCAATTGCGGCTAGCAATTGAGGAACTCATGTCCGTTCAAAATGGTTTTCATTGGCCGCTTGTATACGACACGAGTATGGTCTGATATTCAGCTGTCAATCAATCTATGGAGAAGCTTAGTGTCGTACCTAGTGAGTGTAGGTGAATAAAACCTTGATCCTGGAATCGAACCTCAAAATATCGGGCCTGAAACTTCAACGTACTCCGTTTTGAAGACAAGATATCAATGCACAATATACGGGTCGAAGAAAAACATTGAGAGATCCTCTGTAACCTCTTGAATGTTAGGCGGAATATTGAAAAGTTAGTGATCCCTTCAATGGTAGCAAAAAAAGTGATTTTTTGCGCTGTGCATGCAATGTCATGCATCCCTGGACAAGGGTTCTTGGTGCAACAGTTCCATCTTATACCTGGCTTTCAAAATGACAGCGCCGGCAAAGAAAGGGTCACCGAACAATCCGTTTCACGCTGAATATAGTTTAGATGTGCTCATGTTTGCTGAACTCAAAGCCAGAACGCCCAGAACACCTCCAATTTCAAAACGTATTCTTTCTAGATCTAAATCATTGTGATGGCTATCGAAGCCCAGTATCTGTACGAGAATTTGGAGAGGAGTAATCTCCTTGATCAACAAAGCGACGACGATGAGATCCTACAGACCTCGACTTCGAGCAAGCGAGCTATTTTTGGCGCCAGAAGAGATGTCTTCCTAATCCATACTGCTTTTACAACCTTCTATCTTCTTGGGGTCTTCGTATTATTTCGAAATCAATCTACGCAGAATATATGCCGGCCAGTACCAAGTGAGTGTTGATCTTGGAACCACGGGATCTTTTCTCTTAACGAACATGGGGACAAAAGTCCGTGCGTTCAGGGCATCAGAATCATGAATTTTATTAATTAATTAGCTGTAGACCAGCCACATCGCTTAATTAAGTCGTGTACCCAGAAGTCCTGCTGCTCAATAAGCCCATTGATCCATTCCTGAGGAATTTTGTCCCATTCTTCTAATACTGCTACAACCATTTGAACCTCAGTTGTTGGCTGCCTTAGGCGCCTATGGAGAGCTTGTTTTATTCTCCTCCAGCACTTCTCAATAGGATTCATATCAGGGCTAACTGCAGGATGGGGGAATAGAGTA